TTGGATGGTTATGCCGTTGCATGTCTGCGGCATAACCATTGGATGTTTATGCCTTGGGATGACTATTGGATGTTTATGCCATAAGCATTAGATGTTTGTGCTGGGATAACCATTAAACTTGGATGTTTATGCTGTTGACTGTCTTCGGCATAACCATTCAACTTGGATGGTTATGCCGTTGCATGTCTGCGACATAACCATTGGATGTTTATGCCTTGGGATGACTATTGGATGTTTATGCCATATAAGCATTAGATGTTTGTGCTGGGATAACCATTCAACTTGGATGTTTATGCCGTTGAATGTCTCCGGCATACCCATTGGATGTTTATGCCTTCGGCACAACCATTGGATTGTTTATGCCGGCAAAACCATTGATTGGATGTCTATGCCGTTGGCTGTCTTCGGCATAACAATTTAACTTGGATGGTTATACCGTTGAATGTCATCGGCATGATCATTAAACTTATATGTTTATGCCGTTGCATGTCTTCGGCATAACCATTGGATGTTTATGCCGTTGTCTGTTTTCCGTATTATCATTCAGCTAGGATGTTTATGCCGTTGAATGTCTTTGGCATAAACACTGGATGTTTGTGCCTTCTGCATAACCATTGGATGTGTATGCTATAACTATTGGATGTTTATGCCGGCATAAAACCGTTCAACTTGGATGTTTATGCCGTGGACTGTATTCTGCATAACCATTCAACTTTCATGGTTATGCCGTTGAATGTCATAGGGATAACCATTCAACTTGGATGTTTATGCCGCTGACTGTCTTCGGCATAACCATTCAAGGCCGGCGAGAGGGGGGGGGGGGCAGGGGGGAAAAGTACCCGGAGCCCGGAATGCTCGGAGGGGCCCGGAAATCTCGGTAAGATGTTTGATTGTTTATCATCGCTATCTGCTATAGGTATGTCCTAAATGAAATACCCCTACTTGCACACTATCCGCTGTTCGCCGTGATTGACCGTTCAACATACCAAATATGAAATAAAAATTTTCCGATCGTTTTTTCGGCTCCGAAATTCTCCAGCGATTTTTTGCAAGCAATTCGCTGGCAATTCCCTCCTTGATTGTGATTAAAAAATAGACTTTGGTGTGGCCATCAGCCTGAGAGTCAAGAGGGACGGAGGTGAGAGGGGGGGGGGGGCAAGTTCACCAATTTGTCCCGTGGCCCGTAGTTGCCTCTCACCGGCCTTCGGTAACCATTCAACTTGGATGGTTATGCCGTTGACTGTTTTCAGCATAACCATTTTAGTGGCTTTCCCACCTGATCTATCGTCTGACTCTTCCACAGTCTCTCGTTATATTTTGGTTAGTACGGGAGAATATGCCCGTTCGCGGGTTAGGGGGTTAGGCGTTGACAGACACGCTGGAAAATAACCCATTCCCATCATCCAACGAGAGCGACTGGGAACGGGTCAGATCTATAGTATTGTGATTCTCGATTTCAATTGTCTCTCTCATTTTGCGAGAGAACGTATGACTATCTATCGCCAAACTGTGGTTGCTTCGTCCCATTTTATACTTATAATAACCAATATTTGTAAGAGTTCAGTTTTCACATTGATGGGTTAGTATATATACATGGTAAATATTTGAAAACCATTCAAAAATTTTCCTGTGTTGTGGGCCACCGTAGTGCTACTGATATTGTAAACCAGCTTATAAGCCAGGGACGGATTTATCGTGTGGGTGCAAGGGGGTGCGGCACCCTACCTAGTGGTGTCTAGTAAGATCACATCAGCCCTCTTTCTGGCCCCTCCAGTTGGCAATTTTGTACCTCCCACCCAGTGCAAGGCCTCTTCGAACTATATACCTGCAGTATGTAGTCAACCAGCAATTATATATCAAAGTGAGAAAATGATGAGTTAAGTTGTTAACATTTCAGAATTTGACCATCATCTGCAGGCCCGTAACTAGAGTCAACCGAGTCAGTTGACTCGGAGGAATTTGGGGATTGAAATTTAAACATCGCCAGAAACCTAAACCATGGCTGAAATAATTTGCTCGTGGAAAAAAGCATGAAATGGCATTTTAGGACGAAATTCTAGTTTAGTTTTTCCAAGCAAAGATACTCCAAAGAGACCACCCTATCTTGCTCTTCAGTGACACTTAGAAGACGAATGCGTCGATATCAACTACCCCAATAGATGTAAATACAGAACTGCATGTAGAATTTGAAGTGTTGTGAATGATAATACAGTACCACGCACATTTTCATTACCGCATCATCACATCAAGTTGCCTTATTGGGATTGGATTACATTTGGGAGACTGTAAAATTGCAGTAATTGTGCCACGTACTGTTTATAAGGCCATTTCTTGTTGGAACACTCCTCAAAATACTGGACATAGCTTATCTGAGCTTCAGGAAATCCAAAATTTTCTGGGGTGGGATGCCCCCAGACCTCTCTAGACAGCTAGCACCTTCGGTGCTCGACTCGGTTGTCTCAGAATCCTAGTTACGGGACTGATCTGCTGCTCAATGACCTATACTTATTGGTTAATTAAATTTAACCATGCATATATATGCTGGTAGCTGCAGTGATATATACAGACTTGCTGACTGGTGAACTTCTTCAGGTCCCCCGCGAAATATGTCCCCTCCAGTTACACATCCTTAAGGCTGATTTCCACTGTTGCGTTTTTCGTACGCACGTACACGCACGTAAAACTTTGAATCCTTCTATTTTTTAAATATTTTACAAATAAGTTAACAAACGCATACTAAAACTTGCGGAACACTAAATTCTGTTGCTTTATTTATTTGGGTATTTCATAAGTAACATTTAAACGGATTTAAGGTTTTACGTGCGTATACGTACGTATGAAAAACGCAACAGTGGAAATCAGCCTTTAAAGAGGCCCTGGGAAGTGGTGCATTTTTACGCGCGTAATACTAAAATACTCAAAATTAGCTAATTTCACAGGGTTATATTTTTCGTATTTTACAACAGTTCGCAACCAAACTTTGCAATTTTATTAATTGTAGGATGCTCTTTTGAACTATAATGATAGATTTTGTCTTTCTTGTCTAGATAAAAAATTAGTCGATGGTTAAAGGTAATGTAAAGTTCCTAATGTAAACAAACACTTTGTTTACATTTTGAACTCAGTGCAACAGTTGTAAAATATGATTAGATATATATCATACTGAATTTTTAACACTCTTCTGGTTCGCTATGCTTGCAAATAAATATAGACTAGAGATTCAATTCAAGAAAGTTCGGAAGGTGCGAAATAGTAGCAACATTCCAATGGTCGGGTCCCGACCATTGGAATATAGGCTTGCGCAGAACGTATGCGCAGAACGGACTTTACACCACCTTTAATTGATTTGTGAGCTCATGAGAATATACTCAGAATGCTTCGATTAAATATCATAACAGCGTAACAGAATGGCGAACATGCGGATTCGGCCATCTTAAATAATTGTAATATTGAGATAGAGAAGAGTTGAGAGTAAGGCTCCCTCATGCATCAGGCTCATGGAAAACTGCACCTCTGTGCTTGTAGATGAGACTTCCGCCCACGCTATAAGCTAAACACTGAGGCTCCGTTTCAGTGGCGTAACTCCTATGAGCTCTACCCGGTAAGAGCCGGGGGCACCCAGGCAATCGGGTTTCACGGGGGGCACCCTGAACTAAGTTCTCCGGGACCCTTGTTCATGGTATGGTATGGTATGGTAAAACTTTATTTAATGACATTGGCCCCGACAGCAATTAGCTGATTTCGCCGGGGGAGGGGGGCGTCATGTAAGGTTGTATGTGTATAAGTCATAGAAATAATAGGTAGGCAGGTATACTATTTCTATGGTATAAGTACAGTGACAAACATTTCACTGTTTATGTCAAAAACAATTTCTGCCTATAGTGTTATTTATAGTTGGGTTTTGTATTTTGCTATATATTTAAATTTCCAGTTTACGAAACCATTAAAATTCGCTTCTAAACGACTAGCAAAATCGGTTAAATATTGTCAGAGCTTCATGGTACTTCAAAAGGATCTAGGATACCCCTGCCTTGGGGGCACCCAATTTCGGTAGGACCAGGGGCACCCTTGTCCAAACTTAGACGTCTGCCCCGTTTACACTATACCGGATTACATTTCGTACCGAATTAATTTTCACTCCGAAGTAAAAAACAAGGGTGTTACATTATGCATGCCGCTTCGCTCTGTTGCCAGCTCATGTCTCGCTGTCGCCATTGAAGCAAGGATTATTTTTTGCCAGTATACTAAAATTTATTTTAAACAAGAAGTAACACACGTTTTCTTTGTAAAATATAACTTTGTTTTATATTAAAAAGCTTCACTACCAGACCTTGCTTCGTTTAGCTGTAAACCAAAATTCAGACGTCGAGTATTTCTTTAAATTTTGCCCTATCGAAAGCGAAAGTCAATGTTATTATCGTTTTCTTTACTTGTCTTCGCCAGAAATAGTAAGTGGTTGTAAGGCGAAACAAACGACAACTCTAAAGTATCATAAAAGCAAGCCAAATATAAAAGGCGACAATGGTAAAACGTACGTACACGCCAAAACCGAAGGGTTACGGATTGGCCTGCTTACACTACTTCGGCCCATACCGGATTACTTTTCATTTCACCTCCAAAGCACTCTCCTCCGCAGAGTCAATTATAGTCCATTATATATGATTATAAAGGATCGAACTTGAGATGCGGCTGTGGTTTACTGAACCGTTGGCAGACAACGTACGCTTTGATTTTAACCAATCTTTTATCTTATATTTCGTTGCCCTTCGACAGTACATAAAACTATACAAAGAATAAACTACATTATCTATATACACAAAACTACAAAACCACCACATACTGAACATTTACTAAATAAAATAATAACGTACTGCATACCTCTGTCCCCGCAGATCCTTTTAACGATTAGCCAATATCTAATACTATATACATACGGTATATGTCCACGCTTAACACGAGATTAAAAGCAAACTAAAATTAAAAGTTCTGCTATATATAAAGCCGTGGTGGCATGCAAATTAGTTGACTAATTAATTCCAACCCACGCAAAAGATTTTTAAACAACATCCTTTACATGGCTCCCCTAAATTGTTCCACAATTTACCTAAATTAAACTAAATTATACTAATGCATGCATAAAGTACTATTTTTTGTTCGTTTTATATATAATAAAATTTATGACACCTAAATGTACTTTGAAACAAATTCTACTTATCGTTGTCATCTTTGGCTCCTTCGTCGGGGAATCCCTGGTCTTCAAACTCTTCATTCGACAGCAGTAGAACCAACTTGTGCACCGGTCGATTGAGATTGAGATTGGTCGCTTTCTTCTTCCTCTGCTATCCAACGTGGAGTCAGCCATCGCCAACTTAACCTTTCTAACCAGGGCATCGTCTGAAGGAAATGTTTCCGCGACTCGTGCGAGTTTCCATTGGTTACGAAGCAAATCTTCATCGTTAACGACAACAACATCCCCTTTCTTAAGGTTTTTCTGGGGTCGTACCCATTTCTGACGAGTTTGTAGGGACTGAAGAAACTCTTTCTTCCAACGGCTCCAGAATTCGTTGATCAAATACTGTACACGACGCCATCGTTTCTTTGAATAGACATCCGCACGCTGAAATTCACGGGGAGGGGGAAGGATAATATTACTCTTCATTGTCAACAAGTTGTTCGGTGTAAGGGGTTCAAGTTCACTTGCGAAGTTCAAAGATAATGGACGGCTGTTAATGATCGCCTCAGCTTCTACCATAAACGTTCTCAAAGATTCATCGTCCAGTTGTTCTCCATGTGCATCCAGCAGGGCAGACAAAACATTCCGCACACTTCGGATCTGACGTTCCCAACTGCCCCCCATATGACTTGCATGAGGGACATTCATTTGAAACTTGATGAAGTCACAGTTCTCCTTCAATAGTTTCTGCCTCACAGTCTCTTGGTTCATTTCACTTAGTGCAGCTTGAAGCTCTGTCCTGCATCCAACAAAGTTCGTTCCGCGATCAGACCTCAATTGACGTATCGGTCCTCGCCGGCCAACAAAACGACGGTATGCGTTCATGAAAGAACTCGTATCCAAACTAATCGCCGTTTCCAGGTGAATAGCACGCGAAACCAAACAGGTAAACAAAACCCCATATCTTTTAACGTTCCTTCGTCCCTCTTTGACCAACCAGGGTCCGAAGTAATCAACTGCACTGTAGGTAAAAGGTGGAGAAGGCTCCAAACGATCCTCGGGTAAGTCGGCCATTCTTTGTTTCTGCAACTCGCCCCTTACTTTCCTACACTTCACACATTTGGAAATATGGTTGGAAACTGCCGAAACACCACCAATAATCCAAAATCCGGAAGACCTAATGCTGTTGTGGGTCATTCCACGTCCCTGATGAGCGACTTTCTGATGAAAATGACATATGATCAATTCAGTCACGTGTCCTTTTTTCGGGAGGATACACGGATGCTTAACGTCCAATGGCATATTCGCACGCCTAATCCGTCCACCGACTCGTATAATTCCATCTTTCGCAAGAATTGGATCAAGTCGAAATAAGGAACTGGATTTCGGGACCCCATGGCTCTCTTTATTCCCTCTTTCAACGTTCGGAGACGATTCTTCGACGTTTCTCTGGTGAAGTAACAATGTTTCCTTGATAAATGACTTTCGTTGTACAGCTCGTATAATTTCCTTTCCAGCTTCGTTCAGTTCATCGACGTTCACTGGATTACAAGAGATAACTCTGGAACTTTCCTCGCTTGAGTCACTTGACTGTTCTCCAGATAACTTTCTCTTTCGCAGACGGGCCAAGAGAATCTCCTTAAATCGAAGGCAAATTGCAATCGCTCGTTTTGCTTTGAACCAGCTCGAGAAACGGTTCAAACGCTCTTCTATACCAGCATGCTCTTCAGTTCTCGTTATCATAACTGAACACTTCCTCACTTCTGGATCGTCCGGGCAGACGGCAGCGATGTTATTGTCCTCGTCAATCCTGCCATAATCAGGATCAAAATTCGACCAGAGAAAATCCGGACCAAACCACCACTCTCTCTTATCGAGAAGACGTTGGGCATCCAGACCTCGAGAGGCGAAATCGGCTGGATTGGACTTCGTTGGTATATATCTCCACTGATCAACTGAAGTCAGTTCACGAATCTGCTGCACTCTGTTTGACACGAAGACATGAAACCGTCGCACATTGTTAAAAATGTACCCGAGTACAACTCTACTGTCCGTCCAAAATATTTCGTTAATTTCGTTGTAATCTAGCTCTCTTCGAAGTGAAGTGCCGACTTTCGCACTCACCAAAGCAGCCGTTAACTCGAGCCTTGGAATAGTTACGGATTTCAATGGCGCGACACGAGACTTTGCCATCACCAGCGAGCAGTGAATTCTACCAGTATGATCAATGAGCCTTAGGTATGAACACTGACCATATCCCTCTTCACTTGCGTCAGAAAAGTTGTGCAACTCGACAACGTCGATCTCACCAAAACCATCAGGTTTGTAACACCGAGGAATCTTCAACTGTGCTAGAAGACAGATATCTTTCCGCCATCTTTCCCATTCTGGCACCAGATACTCTGGAACTTTTTCATCCCACTCCTTAGCTTCCCTGCATAACTGCTGTAGAATTTTCTTTCCAAGTAGGACAAATGGAGAAAGGACCCCCAAGGGATCAAACACCGAGCTGACTGTAGCCAGGACACCTCGTCTCGTCAACGGTCGATCTGACAATTCAATTCTAAATTGAAAAGTGTCTGACTCCACACACCACTGGACACCAAGAGCCCTCTCGATAGGGAGCGCGTCACAACTTGGAACCAGGTCTTTGATACCCTTCGCACGATCTTCGGGTGGAATTGTGTCTATCACTGACTGTTCGATATAATCTTATGGAGACGAAATCCTCCTTTCTTGCAAAGGGTTTCCGTACTTTCGATCAAAGAAATAGCATCACTAGGTGAAGGAACGGATTTTAAACCATCGTCCACGTAAAAGTTATTTCTTACAAAATCAGCAGCTTCGGTACCGCAGATCTTCTCATAGTCATCAGCAGTCTTCCTCAAACCAACGTTAGCACAACCAGGGGATGAGGTGGCTCCAAATAGATGCGATGACATTCGATATTCGACAGGCTCAGCGTCTAAATTGCCATCCTTCCACCAGAGAAAACGAAGGAAATTACGATCTTCCACATTAACCTTGACTTGGTGGAACATAGCTTCCAAATCACACATAAGGGCGGTACTATCCTGGCGGAAGCGACATAATATCCCCAACAGATTATTGGTTAGGTCAGGACCCTGAAGTAGGTTTCGATTCAGAGACTCTCCTTCGTACACAGCACTGCAGTCGAAAACGACTCGTATCTTATCTGGTTTCTTGCTATTATAGACCCCATGGTGCGATAGGTACCAGACTCGACCATCTTTGAGACTCAACTCTCCTTCAGGAACTCGTTCTGCATACCCATTATTGATGGTATCAGAAACAAACTTCAAATAGTCCAGGTGGTATTTCTTGTCCTTTTTCAGACGTTGTTTCAATTTCTGAAGGCGGGCGAAAGCTTGCTTCCTATTATCTGGAAGTTTAATGTTCTCGTCCTTAAATGGTAGAGGCATTTCGTAATGACCGTCGTCACGTTGGTGTATTTCCTCCTCAATCTTCTTGATGAATAAACGATCTTCGTACGAAAGTGATTTACCCTTTTCTCGATCACTGAAATCCAACTCGAACATTTTGTTCACCTGATTTGCGCTAAGGATTTCTTTCGTCTGGGTCTTGAAAGCCAGATGACACACCTTTCTATCTTTACCAACTTGGGTTTCCCCGCATAATGTTCGATTCACGATTACCTGACTATCCTCAACATCTTTATTTTCACCAGGTTCGATCGTACCAACGATTCCCCAACCCAAAATTGTTCTCTTAGCGTAAGGATCATCATCATTTCCGGTGATTATCTCTCGTGGTTTTATCGCTCGTATGCAACTCGTTCCTATCAAAAGGCCAACTGCTACATCACTTCGATACGGCATTATTTTCTCCGCGATCTTTTCCAGATGCGGCCACATACGGGCTGACTCGGGTCTTGGAATCTGCTCTGATCTGGCTGGAATCTGACTTTTCGTATACGTTCTCGGTAGGGATACTTCTACAGTTTCGTTGATGCCACGACAAACCAGACCAGTGATTTTCTGACACTTGATAACTTCGTGAGAGAGCACTGTGGAAAGTTCAAGTGGTACTTCTGGACCGTCGACTTCAAGAACATTCAATATTGAGTCCTTGATAAAACAGGCATCTGATTGCTCGTCCAAAAGGGCGTAAACCATGACTCTCCTCAATCTTCTTGATGAATAGGATTTTGAGAAACTTTTCACATACATCAAGCTCGTGTGCTTCTTTGCAGAATATGCAACTTATTTTCTTAATAATCTTTGTCTCTGAATCAGGAACATTCGTCGTCTGTGAAGCAACGCTATTGACAGCGAAAACCTTTGCTTTGTGTATCTTGTTCGGTTCCTCCTTCTTGGGAAGGCGTTGAAAGGTTACGGGATTGCAAGCGATCCTGGCTTCTTTCTTAAGAAACTTGCAGAATTCGGCGAACGTGGGGTAACCCGATCCAGACGCAACTCGTGATGCTCTATCTTCATCACCGTCGTCGCTAAGGTCATCTGCTATCCTTCGATCCACTACGCGAACCCATCTGTTAACAAGATGTGTCGGAAGCTTGTTGAGAAATTTCCGATTTTCTTCGGGATCGTTCAGAACGTTTAGATACTGTATGCTATCCATCGCGGTCCTGCAGTGTTGAAGGAAATCTGAGAATCGCCTCAGACCTGGACCGTCGTTCGGGGGGATCTTCGGCCAATTCTCGATCTTCTTTCTATAGGCGTTTGATACGAGAAACGCATTACCAAACCTGTCCGTCAATATCTTCTTAGCCTTTACGTAGGCCTCTTCGGAATCCAGTGACAGGAGACCACTAATCGCTTCTTTGGCTTCGCCCGATGTAAATTTGCTCAAATAATACAGCCGTTCGGAAGACAACTTTGTTTTTCTTTCGATAAATGTCTCAAACGCTTTAATCCATATTGGGTACTGGAGAAAATCGCCACTGAAAACTTCCGGTTGAGGTCGTGGAAGTTTATCATGATCCTGTCGTTCTGTTAGCAGATCCGCCAACCTCGTAATAGGATCTTCGTGCGTGGAGACCTTGACCGCACTAGGGGTAACACCGCCCCTGGCAGAGACATTCTTGGAAATACCCTCCTTGGACATCGCAGAAGGATGGAAATTTTGATCCCGGACCAATTGTTCTGCAGAATTTTGCTGACTTGCAATGTTCGGATCAATAACAGACTGAGATATTTCCTCATCAACAGAAAGTAGACCTTTATGCAGGTTGTGGGCTTGTTGGGATTGAACGTACTGCTCTACTCGCTCTTGAGAATCTCCCTCCGCTACGAGCTTCGACACGTTCTCCATATTTAAACCAGAGTTCGAACAATTTTCCACTTGACCCACTGCCTCAATCTCGGCTTGCGTAGCAGCAAGCTCTTTCATCATCTGAAGTTTTTTCAATTCATCTTCACGTCTTTTCAAATCAGCTGATCTTTCTCTTTCAATCTCATGAAACTTAAGTTCCGTTTCCAATCTTGCTGCTTTCACCATCATCTCCGTCTTGAGTAGGGCAGCTGAAGATGTAGTTCCAAACGACCTTCGAGATTTCCCGCTTCGTCGTGACCGCTTTGAACTAACGGAACTCCGATCGTCTTTCAAATTGGTAATCTTTTTATTCAAATCACTAAGGATTCGTCGATGCGTATCACACAAACTATCGAAATTAAACTGTTCGCTTGGTGTAACTTCAGACACGTATTTAATATGAGCATCTGAAAGATCGTCCATACGGGAATCAAGCTTCGTTCGCTCTTGCTGTAGAAGCTCTACATCGTTAGAGTCTAGTAACTCCGCCTCGGCTTTATTTGCTTGTTTTCGCCATGCTTTTACTGCAGTCATATAGTCCCGTTGTAACTGATAATCTTGGTATTCTTTTCCCTTAATAGTCGGTACCCTTGAACGTTGACTCATTCTAGGACCAGGTTCGCTTTGATGGCTAACGATGTCTTCTTTCCTTTCATCGCGAGGGTTTTTAGCCGCGAGAAGCGATGAATCTGTATTCTCTTGAATGTCGGACATATTAATACCAACTCTAGCAGTATTGTTCATTAAAAGCAAACTAAAAGTAAAAGTTCTGCTATATATAAAGCCGTGGTGGCATGCAAATTAGTTTGACTAATTAATTACAACCCACGCAAAAGATTTTAAACAACATCCTTTACAGATATAGGGTTTTTGCACCAGAGGCATGGAGACATTGAAGTTCTATAACAAACATACTTGCAGGTTCGGTGAATCCGGGATTGGACGCACCGAGGGTGGCTGGAAGTTTCCCGAGCGAGATGGGTTTGGGAATCTTCCAGTCACCCGAGGTTTGGTTTAATTTTATCACATGCCATTTCGGTAATAAGCACTATTAATTAAAGAATTTACGCATTTTAGTATATAAATTTTTGTTGGGATAACGAACCATTTTAGCCGCCAACATATACTACGCAAACAAACAAACTTAGGCTTAAATTGAAGCTAAAAAAATTCTCTACAATATTCCCTTATTCTTGAGACGAGAAAATGTACACATTCTGCGAAAACATTGCCAAGATTTATATAAACCTGCCCGTGCCGAACAAATTTCGGCGGCCATCTTTCTCTTTTTCCACTTTGAATACCGAATATTCGATTTTCATCAAACAAAATAAAAAAATAATAATTATAAAACACGCTTGTGTGATGTTACTCTGAGTGTATATCCACACCGGGAAGGCTTGAAAAATATGCCTGACCACGGTGGGATTCGAACCTACGACCTTTGGAATACTATATATACAGCAAATATAATTATAAAATAATTAAAAACAGTTAATTAATTTATCTTCGTTTGAAATTTGTTCAAATCGCTTCATAATGGTCGCCGCCGAAACATCGATCTCCAACCCCCCTCCTAAACATACGTCAGCAGGTGGGTTCGAAATTGAATGTACCTCCTCGTACCTAGCGTATTAGCGGTGCTATGAGTATATTATGATCTTGTCCATATTAAAATTCACCATTTCCAAAACAATAAAGTTCACGACCAATTTCCTCATTTCTCATGTGTTAACTTATGGTATAATTCACCGATCTCTATCAGAAATTCCCATTTGAAAGGTGTTGTCACGACTGTATTCATGATTCATCTCAGTCGCACTCAGAAACGTCGTCAAAAATATAGACACGTTTCTTTACGATTGAGTTCATTTGAATGTAAAAGAGGTCCCCAACATTGTTGAACATGTGCTTTTGCTTAAAATACCAGTGTTGTAACGAATCACCTATAGGTCGAGTCACGAGTCGAGTCGAGTCACTCAAAGGTCGAGTCACGAGTCGAGTCGAGTCATTTCAGTTTTTGATCGAGTCGAGTCGAGTCGAGTCAGTGGCTTCACTCGAGTCGAGTCGAGTCGAGTCAGCGGCTTCACTCGAGTCAAGTCGAGTCACTGATTTAAGTCGAGTCGAGTCAATTTCTAGACTTGACTTGAGCTTGACCTAGCTTGCAGCAGGAAATTAATAATCAAATTTGCGTTTTAAACTAAATACTTTAGTCATTTAATAACAGTATCTGGGTAGCTATAGGCTGTGCCAATATCACAGTTCTAGTCAATATTAAGTAAAACCACATGAGATGTCTCATCATGCCTGCTGATCGAGTGTACGTACATACAACTAGCAAAACTTGCAACTGGAGTCAGAATTAACAAAGAATAGACTTTAATTAACAACGCTTTGTAAGTTAATTTGAAATTATATAGCCCTTCGTAAATACCAAAAATGAAAATAGCCTGTCAGAATTAGTATATAAGTACAAAAAAATTTGAGACTCAATTTTAAAAACTGTGGCACTAGCGTTGTTTCTAAAAACAGAAATGTAATATAGGTATGCCCATCAGCAATATACTCTATGCAAATCCCATATATTTTCTGATAAAGTTTCGAAGTTCTCATTGTTCACAGGGCTCATTGTTCTTCCCAAGCAATACAATCACAATAATTGTGATGAATTTATTCTGCACAAGTTGTAGCTTTGTTGACTCGAGTCATTTAAGGCAAAATCAGCAAGTCGAGTCCGAGTCGAGTCATTTGGGGCTGTTGACTCGAGTCGAGTCGAGTCATTTTTCGTATTGGACTCGAGTCGAGTCGAGTCGCTGAAAATAGCGACTCGAGTTGACTCGAGTCAGAGTCAATGACTCGACTCGTTACAACACTGTAAAATACCATATTTGACTTGATTTATTCCTCTATTGCGAGATAACAGAACAAAACAGTTGAAAATACCGTATTAATCACAATAGCTCACCCCTCAAGGTGGTCACAGTAAGGCCCCGTTTACACTATACCGGATTGCTATCGGAGTGGTTCAAACGGAAAGGCTGTGAAGATTTTTAATATCAGAGACCCAAATAAACATGCCAATTCTGTCAAACTACTAAGCATTTGCTACTAACCATTGCTCCGTAACGACAAAAGAAGATGTCGTGACCAGCGAATCCGGTATAGTGTAAACAGGGCCTAAGATGGCGGCCGCGCGCGACTTGCGGCTTCAATTTCTGTATCTATAGTTGCGCTCTCCATATATTTATAGCTCAGTGGATGCATATTACATCGTTTATGCGTTACCATGGTAACTTAAAACATGGCGGCTGTTTTGGAAGATCGAGAGACAGAAATGGCAAATGATATGGACGAAGACGGCTATATTTTGGAACGTATCCTTTTAAAGGCATTTCCTATTTTTAAGGACAACGTTCTCGTTCGTTTTAGCATAATAAAAACTCCAAAATTGTTGGTATTTCGAAATATCTTTGTTTTGTATTTTATAATTGTCGTAGTCGTACTGTCAGTTTATACTCCATACTATCTAAAACATTCAGATTTGGTCAATAAATAGCCGATTTGTTTGATAATTTCAGTGAATGGTTTCGTTCAGATAGTTCTATTGATCTGGAGTAATTTGCCTTCATTTTATACTCCATCGTTGTTTGCAATTCTGCCAATTCACACATGCAGAGTCGCCGACAATGCCAGACACGGCTTAGTCGAAATTCACAAAACTGGAAAATATTTGAAATATGTGTTAAGTGTGCAATACCATTGGTCAAAAAAATCTCGGGTGTGCACTTGCCAGACTCTGCAGTCTGGGAAATTCTCTCACACTCAATATTTCTTTCTGTAGATCCAAAACATTTCAATCCTCATACTTTAACTTATGTCTACAAAATTCTTACCTCTACCATGCACCTTCACCGGCCTCTCCATCTTCAAAAGATCTCTTAAATCTCTTGAAGCCACTTACTCAAACTTGGTTGCAGCAACATTTGATGTAGACAATAGATGGTTTCCTTTATCAGATGGTTCCCTTATTGCGTTCACTGAATGCAACCACATTATGCTTTGTGATTTTTATTATACTAACACATCCGTGAAGCATTCAGGTGGTTAATGTGTTCATGGTGCATACTAATAGAGGGAAGCGGCTTTTTATATTTGTATTTTATGTACGTATTTCGTTGCTTCAGTGTTTGCACCTTACATGGGACTTTGTGTCCTGTTTGTGCTTATGCTGTTTGAGTACTGTATATATTAATTATACATAATATATTATATTTATATTGGGTCATTCCAGAAAACATCCATACCACCCCCACAGAGGAAATTGGAAGTTAACCCCCCTACCCCCTTTGGATGTCCTAATAATAATAGCTTTAGCAATACCTGTAAAATATGGTCATGCTAATAAAGCGATTATCAATAAGAAAAAAACAAAAAACATTTACTATTATCAGAAACAATTTTTTCTCCCCTCCCCCTCCAGACGGCAGAAATTTCCTCTGTGGGGGGAGTGTGGATCTTTTCTGGAACGACCCATTTAATTATATATAATATAATTATATATGTAATGTTCTCAATATAAATATATTATTTATATATCACATCACAAGTTAGCCTGCGTAGCGGCTGGGCGGTATTCACAGGCACAAGAGAATGGGCAGCATGAAATACTGCCTGCCCAAAAACTACATATTCTAAGTTTCGCCCACAGAATGCATGGTTCCGCCTATCTTAATGTGTATTTATAGACATGACATGGACAAATTTGTACTGTCTGCATTAAATGTTGAGGACCTTTTTTGGGAAGAGTTGATCTATGGAAGTTAACAAAGTTTTGTAAACATTATTCCCAGTTCTGTATTACATCATATTACATAATTATTTTCTTTGACTTTAACATTAGAGGTTACAATTCCTGATTACGGTGATGAAGATTTCGTATATGAAGAGGTAATGTTCGTCAGCACATACAAATGTCATGCGCCAGCAGCATAGAATATTTGTTCAGTTGGACATAACATGGAGACCAATGTAGCTACTGTAAATACACCACAGCTGTACTTGTAGATGCTATTCATGGAATGAGAGGGGTGATTAGTGATGGGTGCACCAGGATATGATGTGTTTATTTTGATCATTATTTGTACATGACCTTAGAAATATAGATTCCTAAGCATTTTACTTTAAAACTTACACTGTGTAACTAATAGATATATCCTCAGACACACTGAAGACATCACATGGTTGTCGTAAGGGCCAGCTTACAAAAAATCTAGTTGGAATTCTAATAGGGATTTCTATGCCCAAATTCCAATGGGAACAATTAGAATTCCACTAGGAATTTACATTTTGCAATTCAACTTTCGGTGGAAATGGATGCAGCATCACACGTCGCATTAACCTCCATCTGGTCCATTTTACTATTCTTAGGTTTTTGCCTTGCTAGATTAGATATTACATGGATATATTGCCAAATTATCCATTAGTATTATGAAACAGTGTCACAGTGATACATTCAGTGACACACAGTATCATGTTCCAGAACCTGGAACTCTTTACCAACTACACTAAGATCTCCTGACATTAATATAATTCGGCAATTCAAAACTGATTTACAAACTTACTACCTGACAGCCCTGAGAGAATGCTTCAACGAAGAAGATCCGAGGACATGGAAGACTATATGTCTGAAGTGTAACACTAGTCGTTATTTACGTTCTAAACTGACTTGTTGTTTTTAGTCTCCTGTCCATGTACTGTATGTTATATGTTCTGTACTGTATGATTGTGTATTTTTGTATAAGGGCCTGTTGTGAGAATATTATGAACGTTTTATAATATTAAGAACTCATTAAGAACTCATTAAGAACTCATTCAGTTGGAACTTACTAAGTTATGTAGCTGATTATGCAGCGTATTATTAGTTAGATTATCTAGTATATTGTTATGTTAATAAAGTAAAAAACCCATAAAAATAGAACGCTATTTTAGACTCAGATTAATAATACTGTGTATGTAGTCGGTAAAGTACGTGTCAAGAAAATACAATTTAGTGAAACCGATATTTGAGTTTATAACAGGGCCCACAGTAATTGGTTTACACTGTTGTTAGTCCAGTCAATCTGTGACCAGAGGTCAAAGAAATTGCAATAGAATTTTTCTCAGTGGTAAAATGTGAGGGAAAGTGTCCTGATCGATTAACATACTAAAAATTAAAAAAAATCCCTTAGGTGGAACATGGTGAAAATCAAGTTTTTCTTACTTCTACCTATAGAAAACCATTGCGGACAGAATGTTCAAATTTTGAAATCATTTTTAAGCAAATGTAACCAACATTATTGGAAAGCTTAAACAAAACTATATTAAGGTCAATTAAACCGTTATATTCAATTTACTGGTCAGTTTGTCGTTATTCTAGCTCAAAGTTGGAAAAATAGCGCAACATTTGCACAAAATACAAATTTATGGCATTTTAAATCTTGTTTAACTTCGGCTGGATAGGCAAAAGCAAGGTAACCGTTTAATGATCTATATTTTAGTTTTTTCTAAGCTTTCCAATAATGTAGGTTACATTTGCCTAAAAATGATTTCAAAATTTCAACATTGTGTCCACAATGGTTTTCTATAGGTAGAAGTAAGAAAAACTCGATTTTCACCATGTTCCACCGAAGGGTTATTTAGTATGTTAATCAGAAAAACTTTTCACACACTTTACCACTGAAAAAAATATATTGCGATTACTTTGATCAGGACCATGTACTTATAGTGATTTGACTGGATTATGTCAGGTGTCCCTGCCATTCTTGTCCATGTTTATTGTCTAGATGTCTATTTGCTGTTCTGTTACGTGTTTTTGTTTAATAAGTTTAATAAATAAATAAATAAGTAAATCCAGCACTCAGCCACGTTCTTTTTTGATCCAGGTGCCTGTCGATGATAACGCTTCTGTATCAGGTATGCATGATGCTATTCTGTGTGATGTACAGTAGGTCCTGGAAATTTTATTAGGGGATGTCATTGGTACTGCCAAAGTGACGGCAGCTGACTAGTCGTTACAGGAAATGTATTAGTATTTGCTTTTGGCATTTTTCAATTATATAAAATTCATCCTCATCTAAAAAAGAAGTACACATTTTGTATTCTAAATTGAAAATGCAACATTTGAGATCGCTGCATGTGTCAGTTGTATTGTATCTTTAATAGCGTGAAGCTAAAAATACAAATGTAGCTGAGTCTCCCCTCTATAACACCTCTGGTCAGTTTGAAATTTGGCACTATACCAGTGACCTTAACAAATAGTCTCTTTTTGACCAGTAAAATCTTCGAGTAATCTATCTGGCGTTCGCTCATTAGACGAGCTAATCAGTGGGATCACAAGAACCAATTCATGGACATGGAGAACGAAACGCCAATTGATTTCAGTGTACATATAGCAAAAATAAAAATATTGTGTAAATATAGTAAAATTAAGCCAAAACACATGCACGAGCGTTTACAAAAGTATGTTAAATTGATTTTATGCAGAGGGAAGTGAAGATTTTGAAACTGCAGTAAAAGCTTTAAAAGAAGAAAGTGTAGACAAAGCTATAGTACAGGTAAAGTTTGCTATCACTCAAAATATAGTCTGAATGAGACGTAATGAGTATATAATATTACTATAATCAAGTATAATGTACAAAAACCGGCCTGGTTATAGCGTCTTTTACTCCTACAAATCATTATATTTCGCGAGCGCCCGCAATTTACTGACCAGCGACAACAAAATTCCCACCTGTTCAAAATGTGACCCCTATTATAGTGTATCAGATTGATCCCAAACCCCACCCCATGGAATACGTTTCCCTCTCTCTCCAATTTAATACTGGGTGATTTATGGGGGTGAAGAAAACAATGAAATAGAAAAAATAAAATATTTTAAAATTTTGTTTAAAAGAGAGCCTCAAAACCAAATATGGTTTAAACTGCTCCTTAAAACATATACTTTATATTGGGAGAAAATTCATTCATCTCAAAATACGGAAAAATAGGAATTATTGGACATTTCCTCCGTTTTTTAAAAGTTGCAATTTTATACTTTTTTTAGCCTCCGAATGTTCTCATACCTCCCTCACCTTCCCAATAATGCAATAGATTAAAATTTTTTGGTTAGCTGAAAAAACGAGACCAAAAACTCCAATAAAACGCTCAAAAATCAAATTACTCGCCCCAAGTCTCTTTTCCCTTAAACCGCGCAAATAGTCGCGCATGAGCAGACAAATTTCCCACGTGTTCAGCTTTACTATATCCAGGTGATCTCGTGTTCGTATTTTAGCCAATCAGCGCTCAGAAAGGGTTGTCCGAATAGAAATCCATTTTGATGTATTCAGTCAATTATATCTTTCATTATTCTTTATGAAACTAGTTGAACTTTTGTAATTATGTTTGGTTATGAGAACTATAGCTCTGACAAAAATATGGAATCGAAATAAAGTATATTACAGGAGATATTCAGTTGTTTTAATCATAAAATGGATTTCTATTTGACAACTAGTGCCAGTACTTTTCCGCGTATCAAGATCACCTGGATCCCATTGCTAGTACATACAATACGCACGTGACGGTAAAAGACCAGATTTATGAATGTTCTTGTTCACTAACATAGATGATGAGTTATATTGTTAGTCTAATGAGTTTCCAAACCATCTATTCTATTAAGGCCCCTGCGTGACCAAAACTTTGAAAAGTTTATAGCCCCCCTCTTCAGTATATATCGAGAACTTTCAGAGCCCCCCCCCTTTAATTTATTTATATAACAAGTAAACAACAACTACTCGAATTCCGCAGAATGGAAGATTTTCAGTTTGTTTAGAAACAAATAAAAAAATTATTTTCCAATTTCCCCATTTAGCAAAAGCCAGCAACCACTACAACATCGGAAGCCACTGTTACATTGGTAAGTTACTTACTTCAATTTTTAGGATCTCCAGTAAATGGCAGAAAAAATCTAAAATTTAATTAATTGCTAGGAAATGTCCGTTTTAACAAAATGTCGTTGCAGGAAATTTCTTATTTCTTGGAGGAAATTTTATCATTTTCTATATTGCTGGAATCCCATAGTTTGCAAGCTTGCTGTTTTAGAATTACAAATTCTTCTTGCAAATCAAAATTGTCACATTGAAGATTGCCTCCATGTCCGGCAGCCCTCGTTTTCTATAACCATAGTTAAAGTAAAGTTTTGAATTTGGGTTGTGCAGGAATTTTTATTTTCGGATTTTGCTGCCCGGAAGAAAAATATTTTTGTAGGCCTGGTGGTTATTTTTATAGACAGAAATTTTCATCTAGAAAACCCTTCTACAGACAGAGACAGACGCGCACGCACGCACGCACGCGAGCACATACCTTAATTGGCAAACATGTTTTTTGAAATACTGAAATGTTTAATTCGCTTACATTAAGAGACCTGAGGTGGTTGATGATTTCGTAAGAAATTTCCTCGTGAAAATGGAAATGAAACGGACCTTAGATTGTTTTCAGACAGAATGGTAAGTGTTGAGAAGCATTTTCCAAACATGGCGGAACATGTATTTATTCTACAAGCACATACGATATTCGTTCCACTCAAATTTTGGAAGACCTCAATTGGCTTCCAATTGCATGAACTTGATTTAAAAAACAGGGAAGCTATTATGACATTTAAAGCGTTAACCAGACAAGCGCCGGATTATCTTAGACTTAGATAATTATTTACTGAGTGTAAAAATGATTTCTATTGTCTAAGTCTAAGAAGTAACGACACTAAACTAGCACTCCCAAAACCAAGGACTAATTTCCTAAAAAGAAGTTTTTCGTATAGAGCGACAAAGTCGTGGAACGAATTATCGAGTGACATAACCAACGATTACCGAGAGCTATCAATCAATGCTTTTAAAGAGCGACTTGAAATAAGTAAATAACCAAATGATTCCATGTATATAGTTGTTTAAGTTTTTCATATTAATGTTTTCATTGTTATTTCCTTTGTAATACAGTATATTGTAATACCATTTTGTATATACACGGCCCTTTTAAAATCAGTATTGTATATAGTAGAATGTTAACACTGAATAGTCATTTGTTTATGTTTATTTAGCTTTGCCAACTAGGGCAGGGTCACCACAACAGCATATGCCAATTACTGTGGGCCCTTTTTACCTAACCCACCCTACCGTGTTAAAAGAATTTTAATAAAGAAACTCTCAAATTGACTTGACATGCGCTCTATACAGTACTGATCTCTCAAGGCCGTAGTATAGAGAGTGAAGAGATCCAATCCTAGCTGGTACTATTTTGGCACTTCTACCAAATCTATTCTTGACTGGCTATGTATTTACTTTTTGTACATATTTATGAGGTTTGCACCGCATATTTTCATTCTATTATCTCTAACCGTCATCATGCATGATCAGGTCATAAACTGAGCATTTGGATAATCGTAAATTTTTTCAGTACCGAAATTGTTTTTAAGACTTATAGTCATAGAAGTTCAAAATGTCGAATTGTTTTAATGGAAAATCCAAGAGCCACTGAAATCGAAAATATAAGCGGTTGCACACATACGCGTCCCTGCTGGAAAATCTAATAGAGATTGGATTAATATACTGTGACGGTCTGTGCCCCACTACTTGCGTCGGAACCCGCGCGTCTGAGTTGGAGCCTGGGGACGAGGCTGGTCTGTGCCAGTGTTGGTAGTGACATTAGATAGCTTAAGATCTACGACGTCGACGCCAGCTAGGACGTCAGAGCTATAAAGCATAGGACTGGGACTAGGACGTCGTCCTAAATAAATAAACTTCCACTTATATATTAAGTTTCACGACTTAGACATTTAAACTATAAATATTTACATACTTTTGAAAATGAATTTAAAAGAACCGTGTGAACCCATTACCGTTTGTTATGCTCTTGTATTTACGACGGTAAAACTCTTGTTGTGAGGTTGTCGACGTTTGGTGAACGACGAGCAAATTGAGAGAGACACATGCATACTTCAAAAACTATTACCAATTCACTTCTGCTTGCCGCCCTAAATATTTGACGTCGTAGATACTTGAGCTATCGACTTATTCAGGACGACGTCCTAGTCCCAGTCCTCTGCTTAGCCCTGACGTCCTAGCTGACGTCGACGTCGTAGATCTTAAGCTATCTAATAACACGAGAAAGCTGGGGATTGAGAGGAATTCAGCTACATGAAAAATACAATTAAAACCTCAACGTTTCGAGCGAAGAACGGCTTCGTCAGGAAGTGAACTTCTTGAGACGAAGGCTCTTTGCTCGAAATGTTTGAGTTTTACGTGTATTTTTCATGTAGTTGAATCAATCCCCAGCTTTCTCATTCATACACTTTGACTGTTTTATCAAATGTGAAGGTACGAATTACAAGAACGTGGTTTAATGAATAAAGAAGAGGTGCAAGTTGTTCCCGATATTTACATCAGGTTGGTCATTATTTATTTTGTGTCTATAAAGATAAAAGGAAATGCATTGTATCAACAGGAAAGGCAGAATTTGAAGTGGGGAAATATAATTGTTGTTGTGCTAGGTGATTGTGTTACGTTGAATTTGGTGTTCTTTTAAGAACTGGCTGATCAGTCCTTGGTGCAGTCATTTCTCTCCGACTGTTTTCTGACTAAAGAAACACAATTATGTGTTTCTTAATTAACTTTATCTTTAAAAAGACTGGTGAAAGTCAACTCAAAACATTTTACATTTACCTGCATGGCTTGGTTAATTTTAGCCACCCGTTATTTCCTATAAAATTTCAGTATTAGAACGCCTTTGAGAAGAACAGGACTAACTCCATTTATCACGAAGACACAAAGCGTTTGGTAATATATGCAAGAGCTATAGTAGTGTTATCGATATTGAACTGACATCACCTCCATCCTACATTTATGAGGGCGTTTCATCATCGGATTCTCTTTATTTCTGTAGAAATCAACATTTAGATGATTTGGTAAAATCTTTACGTGATGAAGTGAGACGATTTAAAGATGCTGCAGAGTAGGTCTTGTTGTATTTTATCTTTACTTACATTTTAAAATCTGACATTCCAGAGAACAACGAAAAGTTCGCTGTGTTGAGCGGAATTCAAACACTGGTTTCTAGATTGCCGCTCTACCAATTTGAGCTATCACAGTTTATTCAATTAGTCAATTTTTTTCAGCCTCGTACCAGGCCTGCTCTTTTCTCAGCGAGGTAGGATCGTAGAGGAATGAACCTGGGTACGAGCTTGATTTAATGTCTTATATAATCACTGCATTCTTTAGCCGTGCACGTCAGACGTATGTCCGTTTAAGAAAGGAAAGAGATTTTCACAGAATGCATCATAAGAGAGTCGTTCAGGAGAAAAATAAACTCATTACGGATCTCCGAAGGTAAGACCTATATCCAGTATATCCATTACAAAATTAAACAATAAGCACGGAGTAACCCAAGACTTGCCTGTACCCGAGATCGGTCCTTAGTCAGGTGTCACTCTTTATAGTTTTAGAGGGGGGAGGGGGGGGGGGGGCTATAGATGAAACACCGAAGTGAGTGTATACCATTTGGAAAGGTTCATCAAATAGTCCTTGGCAATGGCATGCTTAAAAATAGATATTTTTACCATTTTCACTTCTCACAGACTGAAGAAACATTATGCTTCATATGAACCAACGTTGAAAACACTCAAACAGAAATATGAGGTATGATTTGCGTACAATCGTTTTCGAAAAAAAAGGTAGGTACTACTTAATCTTTGTTTTGCATTTTATTCCTGTTAGGTTGCCTTGAAGGAAAAAATGTTAACAAAACTTGAACGAGACAGAGCAGTCGGACAGGTTGGCATTATTTTAGTTATATATTTCATATTTAACCGATTAGTTTATGCACGACAAAAACTAATTTTACGATTGAGTAGAAAGTTTGTGTGCGTACAGTATGTTTTTGTCAATGTACATAAAACATTCTACATTATACGCCGGTTTCCACAAGAAGCGTTTTCGAAACGGTACCATGCACTGGCGCCATTTTTACTGGTCGTGGGTACCGTGCCGAAAACACTTGTTGTGTAAACCGGTTTATATTACTCCCTCGATTATTCAGTAATCCAAGTTCGTAAAATTAGCGTTGAAGGATTTATGTCGTCTCTAGATTGTTGGTCTTCAAGCCACTTTCCAAAATACTGCAGAGACTGTGGAGACGGACGAAAGTCGTGGAAGCAGAGGTATTTTAAGGCTTAGGTTTGGTACCCGTACCATTTTTATTCATGTACGGACTGCCTATTTACAAAGGCTGAGCAGGGATAAATTTGGTACGGGTACCAGTTTTATCCGTGCCGTACCAAAAAGTGAGCGTATTGTAAACGAGGCTTTCTATCCTCCTACGGAATACGTATCATACATAAGCGCTATGCGAGACTTGAGAAAACGTTACTTAATATGAACACTCGTTCATTCAGATTTAACTATTGTAAGAAAAATTGACAGGCAGGCTTTGTGAATTTCAAGCGTTGTTATGCATAGTCCTTGTTGTGGAAACCGCTTGAAAGAGATTTAAATGAAATCGCTAGTAATCAGGAATAATTTATCTTACCATAGACGACCCAAACTTGAAGGTTTGGTCTCAGTGGTGGACACTGCGCGAAATATTGCGGGGTGGGGTGGGGTGGAGGTGGCGAATTTTGGTCGCCACCATGCATATGACCACTATCTTAGTTATTTAAACATTGTTGTCTTACATTTCATGCATTATATAGCTAAATCTATAGTCTACCATGCTTTCATGGTCGAAAAATAATTGTCACAGCTTTGTTACACTGTTATTCGGCTATCAATCAAAGGTTTTTCGGAAAGTATTGTGGAGGCGGTTGCTCCTCCCCCTGGCCCTTCCTAGTGTTCGCCATTGTTTGCTCTTCATTACATTTAACATGCAGATGCTGAAAATGCTGGAAGAAAGAAATCACCGGAAAAGGATGACGTTCCCAGCGGCAGTAAGCCTGTCAAACATCCAAAGGTTTGGCTAGATTACAACTATTTTGGTTAATGGTTAAAGAATCCATGACTGATTTACTTAATTGTTTGACTACTTATTAGTTACTTCCATTTATTCTCCCCTGATAAGATTACTTCACAGAAAAATTTGAACATTTTCGAAAATTGCACAAACCAATATTTTTATTTAGAAAAACGCATTACATTTACATTTTGTGGCCCAAAAGATCTATCATATCACATAGTCTTTTGCTTTAGTATTATTTAACTCTGTCCATAGCATCTGATGAATTTACTTGTCATTGAGAGATTCCTTGCATGGGCGAAACGGTTTTAACTTGAACCGATCAGGGCCATTTATGTTCATCCCACGTCTGTGTTTCTCTCAAAACGTATACCATATAAATGACATATAGATCGTCCTGGAAGATACAAATATTTATTTTTTCTGTTGTAGGACAGTACGTTTCCTCCTGATATGGGAATTAATCCACTGTTGACCCAACACAAAGGACCATCGCCACATCTCACTAGAGCTGGTGGTTTTAGACTCACCAATACCATTACTGCACACAATCTTGCTGTTAGTGCGTAAGTAGTTCATATATCATTATGATCTTGGCCTGCAGTACTGTACCATGCATCGATGGGATATTAGGGCCTCTTTATATGGAGGCGAGTTACCCGGCAAGGCGAGTTACTCGGTGGCAACGGCGAAATCCCTGCTATTATAGAAACTAATAGTAATCCCGGGTGACTGTTTACATGATGCAGCCGAGTAACTCGCCTTGGCGACTTCCCGGCAGAAAGAGGCGGGATAAATATTTTCCATGTAAACACTTTGCCCGGGAACTCGGCCTCCGAGATAGAATGCATGTGCTTTGTCATTGAAATATAATAGCTCAAAAATACATACGAATCGATAAATAAGTTTTTCTGAAATGCTCGGCGCTTATTCTTGTACTTTCACTATATTTTGTAATGTTTTTTTAGCGTTTCAAACGACTTAAATCCTTTTTGTGTTTTGGCGCCATTTCGGCGTCATGCGGCAATCATGCAGCAAATGCCGAGTAACTCGTTTCCGTATAAACAGAGCGCTTTGTCCCGCCTGGGCAGGTAACTCGCCTCCATACAAACAGGCCCTGAGAGAGGTTCATATTTGGCTTCCACTACTGCTGCCATTACCTCTCATATCAAACTCATCTTATTGGTTAATGGTCCTTTAATGATTGCGGGGATAGCGGTAGCTGAACCTCTCTATTTTAACGGTAGCCGAAGCAAAAATATAGGCATGTATTTCTGTTTAACGTTGTGGATTAGATATATCATCCTTCTCAGAAATCTTTTGCATGCAAAAGCAAGGTAACTGCGGGATATACTAACCAGAGTAAACATTAGATGAGATATATACCGATTTGGATAACAGCTAGTAAGTGTATCACTTATTTGCCAACATAATCCTGATAGATTTATCAAGTTTAAACGGACTTTTACAGCTTACCAGTTATTTTCAAAGATATGAGTGGAACACTTGTAATTCAGCGAATATCACAAAATTGTATATTTCATTTTAGCATTGCTCTTCATCCTCGCAAACAAGTGTTAGCAACGTGTAGTGATGATCACACGTGGAGAATGTGGTCTGTTCCAAGGTAGAGACAAAAAAGATCTTATTCAAGACATCTTAGGGGTTTAACGTCTTCTTTGGCGTTTATAAGAATGTGGATATTCACAGATACTCGACACCCTCAAAAGATAGCATAAACGCCAACATTTTTACTAATTCTCCTGACGAATATCAACATTTAGGATAATCAAGGAGAACTTCGTCTTTACGTATGACATAACAAGACCCGCCACTCTTCGAATGATTGATTTTCTGTTTATCATTTTAGTGGAGATATAATAATGACTGGTGAAGGACACAAGGACTGGATTGCAGATTGCGACTTTCATCCGGGGTAAATATTAACTAACTATCAATGACAAATAAATGTCATGTTACATGCATGCGTGCTACATACTAACTATTGTACAAGCTAGATGAGTACTCAGAAATAACGTCGTTGACGGTAATGGAAGTAGGCCTTGGTGATAATATACGTTCTGCGTTCGTGATTATATTTCTTTCTTCGCCTTTTCTATTTCTGGAAAAATCCCTTATAACTGATTTTCTAAATAATTTGTATTGTGCGGGCAGCTGAGTTGAAGATAATACTCCTGTGTTAATAAACTAGAGGCATACACTGTAGTGAACAAGCAATATCTCACGATGCTTAAATCCTATAGTGACAGAACATTTCCAATTTGTTTTAGTGGCGGTAATTTGGCGACTGTGTCTGGTGATGCAACAGTAAAGATCTGGGATTTCAGCAAAGCAGAATGTATTTTGACATTTACAGATCATATTCATGCAGTTTGGGGTTGTTCTTGGCATTCGTGTGGAGATTTTCTCGCCACCTGTTCCATGGATTGTACTGGGAAAATATGGGATATTAACAGGTATGATATGAAATCATTACAGCCAATATTTTGGCCGCCATATTGATTTTATTAATTCATTGTCTGACAGATGATTCATTTGTTTATCGGAATTGTTGTAGACACAACTGAGGTGAAACCATTTTTGGTGGCTCAGACTGGGAAATAAGCATAGCCTATCGTATCTTAGCAGCCCTAATTATATTGAAAAAAGAATATTATCAGTTATTGTGAGATTATAGTTCCAATAAGCAATATTTGTTTTACTCTATTTCTATATTGATTCTTCTATTTCTTAGTGAAAGATGTCGTTCAACTCTTCGTGGTCATGCTGATTCGGTAAACAGTATTACGTTTCTGCCATATTCTAATAATTTATTGACTTGCTCTGCTGACAAAACTCTCTCTTTGTGGGACGCAAGAACGGTTAGTATTGTGATAATAATTGCTTAACATGCTGTAGAAACGTATGAAAACTGAAATAAGATTTTGACGTTGTTTTCCTTTTCAGAGTTTGTGCGGTCAGACGTTCTTTGGTCACATGCATTCTATCAATCACTGTGCTTTTAACTTGAGAGTAAGTATTTTCTACACAGGGGGTATGAAAAAAGTGCACTTTTTCACCAGCAAACCCAAAATTCCGCAAATTCTGTGAAAGTAATGTGAAAAAATGTAGTTAGTATAATCACATAGGTGATTATTGAAAACTCTCCACGCTGATTGGTTGCCGTTGAGGTGATTATAACGCGATGATCACCGAAGCGATTTTCGAAATGGCGGCGAAGCCGTTTTGTCAATTAAATGACGAAGAAATGTGTATTTTATATTTTTTCCAAATAATCACCTATGAAATTATACTAAAATAATTATTCACCTCAGGTTCGGTGATTATCGTCAATAAAAACCTCGACTTCGTCTCGGTTTTTATTCACTGATAATCACCTCGCCTTCGGGGAATAATTGTTAATTAAGGGTTTTCCGATTTCTTCGACTACTCACACCAAAATGTTTCTTAAAAATAAACTGCCGAGTACGAAAGGGCTGCTTTGCCAACCGCACTAGGAATGGCTTGCGCGAATTGAATTCGTAGAAGCAAGCTTATCAAGTTTACTTTATGGCCCATGAAAGAACAATGTGCTTTAAGCCCTTCTCGGACTGTCCAGGTCACTAAAATTTGGACGTTTTCGCTGCATAAGCGTTCATGCATGATTGATTTCAATACATTTGACGAATTAGCATTTCATGCGCGATTAGATCTCTTTCAATTCATGGTCAAAACTTCAAATGCCATAAAAGTCCCCGTGTTAGCGGTCAGGCGGTAGACGTAATGCACTCATATGCAGCACATTTCAAACTTCGCCCCTGTGGATTCAATTCGCGTTTTAAATTTTCTATTTTTGTGCAGTCGGCATTTTTAATGTGATTCACAAAAACTCGGAAGTTTAATTTGAAATATGTACTGTTGTGGACAAAAAGGGCACCTAGCCATCCGGTGAATTAGGGCGCTTTCCATTGACAAGATCAGGTCAAGCAAATCGATCAAATTGTTAAATGGAACACAAAACATTCGGACTCCACACGGGTGTGATCGAAATATTTGGACCAAATAAGGTCGATTTTGGTCAGATTTTCGAAAAACCTGGACCACGTCTTTCCATCAGTACAGAGAATTTCTGGTTTGACTGGCCTTGTCATTTAATGGACGGAGCCTTAGTCTCACGTTTTGTTTGTTAACAACAATGAGTAGTACTGTAAGTTTAGGTTTATAGTAAATCTTCCAAGTGATGTCTTCAGTAAAAGTTTGTTTTGCTGAGAGTACCGTAATTAGAGACAGTGTAATGCTGGTTTAATCTGTCGTGTGCCCAAGGCAGGAATCTAAGTTTGAAGATGAATAGGCCAAAGACTAACTAGACAATACACAGGAACGCTGGAACTAGCCCATTTCATTTTCGTTTATTCATATTAATATGCGGGTTATGTTAAAATGTGGAAAGAGCTTTTCTTGTCATATTTAGGGTGACACGGTGGCTTCGTGTGATTCCTATGGTGTTATTAAATTATGGGATGTCCGTACAGTTGGCTGCCTTGCCAGTGTTGATCTTGGTCCACACCCGGCTAACCGAGTATCCTTTGATCCAAGTTGTACAGTACTGGCCGTAGCTAGCAATGATGGTTCCGTGCGAATGTATGAGGTAGCTTCAGGAAAACAATCACAACTAACTGGTCATGAAGAAGCTGTTCAGACTGTGTTGTTTGATAAAACTGGAGAGTTCTTGCTTTCTGCTGGCTCTTATGGGACTCTTAGAATTTGGTCGTGAATAGTTGTCATGGACTTTGTTCACAATATAATGTACATAAGCTTGCATTTGAAAATAATTTTTAATTTTGCTTTGGGTTCTTTCAAATCTTGTTTCAACTGTGTATAATATGTTGAGAAGACTTTATTCTTTTGAGATTCTTTTGATATACTTTAAAATAAATAGGTTACACAATAAATAACTTATTATAAACAATAATGATTGATTTTACATTCATTGTTAACGCTCATTGAACTACAAATTGAAACGCTCATTTCCATGATCAAATCATATGATTGGTTGAAACCAATCCGCGGGAAAATGAAATATTAAAAGGACTACGGGAGCTTCGAGAAGTGAGGAAATTACTCTCGATTTCAATTTGCTTTTCAAAACTGACTTCCAATGTTTACTTGTAAATTCGAAATGTTCGTTGTAAAGTTCCGAAGTTTGTTTCGAAGTTCGTTCCGATGATTTACGATATATTCAAATTTAGTAAGTTGTAATTGGCTAGTTAAGTGAACCAGCCAATCAAATCGCTTGCTATTGAATCATCGTGAATCATCGTAACGAACTTCGAAACAAACTTCGGAACTTTACAACGAACATTCCGAATTTACAAGTAAACATTGGAAGTCAGTTTTGAAAAGCAAATTGAAATCGAGAGTAATGTCAGTCAGACGTTCGGTTTTGGGCAAAATTTTGTAAGAACTTTATTTCATCAGCGCTTCAATGTTTGGGATTCAAATTTGGTTGTTCCATTAGGTCTGTCTACTTTTAAAATCCATGTTTGCATTTATCAGCAGCAAAGACACTTTGGCATTTTGAAAAAAAAAATACAAAAGTTTGAACATGCCAAAGCAGACTTTGCTTTTAAACTCAGAGAAATATAGTATAAAAAGGTCGAAACATGAATAATTTAACGTTTTTCAAGAGTAATGGCTTGTTACCTTATTTTTGGCTATTATGAGCACTTTAAATGACAGCAAAGCCAGCTATTCTTATTTTAACTGTTGAAAATTTACTAAATACGGAAAGCCTAAAAATTTACAGATCTAGAAACTTTATTTTTCAACAGAAGTTTGTAAAACGGGACTAGCACTACCTATCCCCTGACGTATTCCAGTTTAACTATCATTTAATGTCAACCCCGCTAATCATAATGGTAACACCTCCCTGGATTTATGTACTTTAAAGTGGCTAGCGTGTTTACATAAAGTTTTACCTTCCCCGCCTAACATAACTAGAGTCAAGCCAAGATCATGCCGACCTTGTTAGCTTGATTTTTCTACCTCTAAATGTCTTTCTGATATGCATGACACGATTTTAATGTATATTCACGCACGTATGATGTTAATTTCAGAAGCACCTTCATAATTTTGAAAATGACATGGTTAAACAGTATTTCTGCATTTGTCCACTTATCACAATGGTGAAAGATACCCTTAAACCTTACTATCACAATTTTCTACGTTCTCCGAACTAATACGACGACCTACGACTGACCAGCGACGGTTAATATCCCAGAATGCTCTGCAATATGGCTTCATACAGTGTAGGTAACCACAACAATAGCAGAAATAAGCCACGGCTACAATACATAGACAGTACAGAGTGATACATAGAGCTGACGTACATTTGTTGGTGGCTATCCACATCACCATGGCCAGGAACATAAACATCACTATACTGTATAACATTGACAAGGTCGTCACTGCATCGCATGATTTTGGTTTCTGCCACTAGAACAAAGGGATAAATCATGAAGTAATTCATTCTTTCTTTTCATGGGTAGAGTGCTATGGTTTATTAGGGGACAAACGCAAGCCATTTCAATGAAGAAAAATATCCTTAATTGTTTTCAGTGCCGTAGCAAGCTCGATAATTGGGGGAGGGGGCTCATATTCATATATTCGTGTTCTGCGATATTAATTTCTTTTGAAATCGATTGTTTTTATGGTCTGTGTACACGAATATATGAATATGCCCCCCCCCCCTAATTATTGAGGTTTGTATAGATGATATGCAGGCGTGCAAATGTCTTTCAGTCACACTTCGATGCCCCAACACTCTTCAGTACGAGCTGAGTTGAGCCGCCTTAAAATAACTTTCTTAAGTATAGATAGCTAACAATTTGCAGTTGTCCATTTAGATAGATATACAAGGGACGTGAAAACGTGGGTAATTTCTTTCATGGTGTTATAACGTCTTTTGTGGTTCTATAGTTTGCCATTAAAATTTATATATTAACGTTAAGAATTCAAGCGCTTTCATTGGTTGAGAGCTATGATCTATTAGAGGACAGATGCACGGAATTACGTCACACAAAACCAGGGCGCAAAACGTACCTTATCCAATAGCATTCCCTTATTTGGGGGCCATTCACAAAGGATGTCCGGCCAAATGATGGATTTTCAGACCCCCCCCTCCCCCCCTTGTCCGGCATTGTCCGAATTAGTGAACCCCCCTCCCCCCGGACATCCGCCATGCCTCGCAAAAACTCATGCAACCTTGTATATATCAAGAGTAAAAAACTTTTCTTACTTTTAGAACTTTTTTATAACTGTAAATGTGAACACAAAAACATATAAATTACTAATTAAAACAAAATCTAGTGTTAACCGCATAGTCAAAATGCCAATTTCACAATGGGAAGGACTGCTCAAAATAGAGGGAAAAAGAAATTTGTTTTTGAATTTTTTTAAATTTCGGACATCCGGATTGCTAAAGCCCCCCCCTCCCCCCCTATGTCCGAGTTTGTCCTGATTTTCCAAACCCCCCTCCCCTCGGCTCGGACATCCTTTGTGAATGGCCCCTTGTATAGATCATGTGCGCGTGATATTTGTAAAAATTTCGACTTTTTCAAATTTCCAAATGTTTGTGTGAATAAAAGGTAATCTATATTTACCTGTTTAATTCGGGTGTTTTCTTTTTATTATATAAAACAAATTAAATAGATCAGATTTTGCCGTTGTCTGTTCAGTTATAGATACACAATATGACGTCATAATGTGGAAAGAACAAACCAAAGGCCGTTGAGGCCGACTCACGGATAAGATCAAATGAAAGTGACAGAAATAATTAGAGCAGTTTGCAGTTGTTTTTGCAAACAGGGCACCGTGCGAATTTTGCCATTTCGCCCATTTGTCGTGCATGCTTCATTTGCCAAATCAGGGCGCTATAAAACACGGGCGGTGAAACGGAGATAGCGCCCCTGATCTTTGTGTGATGCGCGTACCCCCGTATACATTAAGAAAAAACTAAAGTAAAAACTGTTTTCTGCACATTCCTAAACAACTTGATGGTTTGAAGACATTGTTGAATTCATTTTCTGTATATCTGATGAAGGAAAGAGGGCTTTAAAAAGATTCATCATGAGTGAAATAAAAATTTGAAAAGGAATCGAGCTGATCGAATGTGGGCATACTCCAAAAATATTATACGAAAATTTTGGTATGAAATGGGATATTTTACTTCATAATGCGAAGGTAGGATAAACATTTTCATAGTAAGAATATTCTGACATTGCTTGGCTATTATTTTTCAATAATTATATAGCCAAAAATTGACCATGCATGCATTTAAAACAGCTAGAATTTGAAAAAAACAACTACAATTTGTTCGAACAATTTGAAAACTTAAATATATAACCGTTTTTGAGTTAACCATGAGCCGGCCTGCTCGGAATCCATTGAAAGTTCATTGTAAAGTGTTTTTTACTAATTGATTTGATTTCTATTATTGGTATAACTAACTGCCGCCGACACTCCAAAAATATTCAGTGTGAATCTTTTTTCGTGCGACTGCAGTCGTTGACATTACAGTGACAGTGTTACGGAAAACTATAAAGGCTGCAAAATACCTCCATTTTATGAAAAAAGCACAAAAAAGCCCCGTTCAATTTTACGTGAGACATAAAGCCAAGTTAAATGTCTAAAGTTTGGTGTGTTCAAATTTATCTCAACCTATCTCAACGAGGAGAAAACACTATTTTAAATACGTCCGCGCTTTGTCAAAAAAGAAAAAATGTCGTCAAAATCGAGTTCAAAATGCATGTCTTTTCCTCAACAATCGCTTCGTTCATTTTGCAAGTGAAATAGATACCAATTCTAGCAATATAAGCTGATACTAGATACTTCAATAAACATTTATAGTATGTATTTGCCAGGGTGGAAAGTTTGTAGGTTGCGCCAGGGCGTAGTAAAACACGGTCCTTTCTCAAAACGTAAACATGGCCGCATTCTCTCGGCAGTTTGTCGAGCTGACATGCTGAAATTCAAGGCTAAAAAAATATGTTTTGACAAAAAAGTCTGTCTTCTTTTAAAAAATTTCTGATATATTATGACTTGATTTCAGTTTTTACAATTTTTTAGGGGATGTTTCACACCTAGGAAAAAAACTACATGCAAAAATACAATTTTTCCGCGGTTCTTTTTCAAAACGTAAACATGGCCGTATTCTCTCGGCAGTTTGTCGAGCTGACATGTTGGAATTCAAGGCTAAAAAAATATGTTTCGACGAAAAATTCTGTCTTCTTTTGATAAATTTCTGATATATTATGACTCGATTTCAGTTTGTACAATTTTTTAGGGGATGTTTCACACCTATAAAAAAAACTACACGCAAAAATACAATTTTTCCGCGGTTCTTTTTCAAAACGTAAACATGGCCGCATCCTCGGCAGTTTGTCGAGCTGACATGCTGAAATTCAAGGCTAAAAAAATATGTTTTGATGAAAAAGTCTGTCTTCTTTTAAAAAATTTCTGATATATTATGACTTGATTTCAGTTTGTACGATTTTTTAGGGGATGTTTCACACCTAGGAAAAAAACTACATGCAAAAATACAATTTTTCCGCGGTTCTTTTTCAAAACGTAAACATGGCCTCTAAAATGGCCATATACGCTGTACTTTATCGAGCTGACATGATCTATATATTGTTTTTGAAACTAATTGTTTTTGAACTAATTATGTCTTTGACGGCTTGGGGAATGTTATTTGTATCTAAAATCAAATATTGTGGCAATATAATTAGATTGAACAATATTTAAAATGTTCCGCTTGATATTTTAAAAACTTTCGTGTTAACTTGCGTTGCTTCTCCTTGCGATACAAATGATGAACAGCACTATGTTCAAGGAAAAAAGTTATAGCAAAAAAAGTCCAAAAAAGTCCGACTCTTAATTTTAATTATTCTCAAGTATGTTAATTTGGGAAACTTTTTGTGCTATCAAATTCACCTAGGACTACCTAGAGCGTTAAAAAACTCGTATTAAAACCTGACTTTGTGCGCAAAAATAACAAATTTTGAAGGGAACAAAAATCAAAACATTTCTTAAAACATTGACATTTTACAACGCAATGCGCTTTTTGTTTATTTTAATTAAGTAAAGCTGAAGTATAATAGTGTTTCTTTCAAATTACGTTAAATAATTATGTAATAATTTAAAACTTACCTATATTTTCGTTCGTTATTTCGTAGTCTTCGGCAAATCTTTTTGTTGCCATTTTTGTGCCGTTCTTTTTGTATTTCTCGCAAAACGCGCGCTTTCGCCAGTCTCCAGCCGCATCACACATAGATCAGCGCGATTACCGCGCGTTTCCTCGCCCGTGTTTTACTACGCCCTGGCCAAATCAATAGAACGAACGCGTGCTCCAGCCCGATTTCCGGTTCTGAAAGGCCCGATTCGCAGGCCCGATTTGCTTCGCAACATCCGTGAGTCAAAAAGTGACCCACTCGTCTCGGTGGCTCGGCGTGAGTATATATATAGGAGATATATGTCTCCTGTATCTATGCTCGTGAGCCACGTTTTTGTTCTTCCCACATTATGGCGTCATACTGTGTATCCATAACTGAACAGACAACAGCAAAATGTTATCTATTTGTTAAACTTTAATCTTCCAGATTAACGAATCAGATGCGTGCTGATTAATCAGTGAAAGGAAGTGGAAGGCAAATTTAACCCTCACTTACATAACTGAACAGACAACAGCAAAATGTTATCTATTTGTTAAACTTTAATCTTCCAGATTAACGAATCAGATGCGTGCTGATTAATCAGTGAAAGGAAGTGGAAGACAAATTTAACCTTCACTTACATAACTGAACAGACAACAGCAAAATGTTATCTATTTGTTAAACTTTAATCTTCCAGATTAACGAATCAGATGCGTGCTGATTAATCAGTGAAAGGAAGTGGAAGACAAATTTAACCCTCACTTACATAACTGAACAGACAACAGCAAAATCTTATCTATTTGTTAAAAGTACTTCAGTGTATCCATAAAGTATTGACGTTGGTGTAGCATTCAATGAGGTTTGAGTATCAGAGACTCCGGAGTGAAAGGAATGATCTACTAGACTATAAACGAAAATATTTTCTGTATTACAAACTTACCTTCCAAAAAGGTTTAATTCCTTTGCAATGTATTTCCATGTTATAAAGACAAAGTTCGCATGCTTTTGATCCTTTGAAGGAAACCCACTGCAACAAGCATGTTTCATGCGCGTATTTTGTCGATCCAGAGCATAGACAAGGGGTTATAAGCTTATCAAACGTCGAGTCTCCTCCGTAACAAATCCTGCACATTTTATCGTCTTTCATATCTTCTCTGAACGTTATTGATGTTGACTCACTGTTATACAGAGAGTCATTTTCATCTTTAATAGAGTGATTTGGAGTTTCTTTCATGTAGGCTTGATCTTTAAATTGTGTGTCATCAGTGTCCATAACGGTGGACGTCTGTTATTAAAGTAAGGAAAAAATATCTGTTTATTATTGTGAATAATTTATATATCGCTGGCATTGTTTAGTACCTAAGTGTGTTTTGGTTTAGGAAAATTCCAGAAAGTGCATACCATAGATCAACGCCAGTGTCTTCTGAAGCAAAATTTTATTAGCTGGCTCAAGTTATAGGGCTCAATCCTAGACCAGGAAACCCCTCCCCCCCTAGACCCACAGCTTCCGAGTATAATTCCGCTTAGATTTTCACTAATTATTCCCAATGTAGGAATCTTCTTCACTAATTATTCTTCAATGTTGGAGCCACAGAGGATTCCCTCATTGGATAAAATAGAACCTTCAGTTATTATAAAATAGAACCTTCAATTATTATAGCTGTAATATTCTATACGTATTTGTATACTTTCCTACTGCTTCACTGCCTCGCAGCAATACAGTCAATACATATTTGCATATGTCATCATTGTGATTTTGTATATCACATCTCTGTATATGACGGAAATATCACCATATCCAAGGAATAATGTAATGTACTATGTCTCTTAGTAACTGGCAAGGCATCTCTTTATCAACATACTTAATTAACCAAGCCTATTTAGTAAATTGATAAAATATATCTGAATTAAATCTTTGCTTTCGGCTTCGCCCACGCAGTCTCTCAAGTAACGAGTCATTATGTTTTTTACTTATTTGCATACTAAAGAGTAAAGGCTAAAAAACGTTAAAGTTTAAATTTGTAATAGTTTTACTTTTATTGCTATACAGTCAGATTACAAGACGTGCAAACAAATTCAATGTCAATGACCGGTTGGGAAATAGTATATTGATTATTGGATCGTCTATTAAGAATAGAATATTTATGTAGATATTTCGGTAGTCTGTTCGTTTGCAATAATATAAAAGCTACACGAAATGTTTTACTGATGAAATGTTCCGTTTTACTTTAAGTTTTGTTTCCGATCAAAATATGTATTATGCAATTCGATGACGGAAATCTTGATCAATGAAAACCGACGTCGATTTTGCTGTTTTGAATATCTAACTTCTACTTCACAATATCTTAACGATTCAATGCTTTTAAATGCATTTTTCAGAAGCTTAAACTTATATATAAATATATATAGACTTATAGCCTGAATAATTTTGATAAATGTCACATACACAGTAAGAGGAAAGTGAACGAAGTAATTAACACTTTTTATGCCCTACATTTTGTACAGTGTCATTGTATGAAAGCTATTGTTATTTGAATAAGATTTAAAGTGGATACAAAACGTGGATAAAATTCTACATACAGAGTTACTTAACAATGCTGGTATGTAGAAACATATCTTCATTTCTTCTTCGTCGTCATCTTTTCCATCTTCAGTTGTAAGTCCTTCTTCTGAATCCATTTTATTTTGGAGCGTTGCTTATTGTTGAGCAAGCACAACAACGGGCAGACTGCAGGTTTCTTGCCAATATTAGTACACAACCCGTCTAGTATTGTTTGTCAAAACAATATGCAACCTGCTATCTCGTGTCTCACATGTGTCTCACACTGATTTTCCATAAGTCACCGATGAAAAGGTTAAAATAAAACTTAGAAGTATTGCGCCCTAGACTGAAGTTGTTACTAAAACTCTAAGATAGAGGTTGGATTGTGGTGCTAATTCCCAGACCGTACGCAGCTTCGTCCACAGGCGCTTTGATTTGCTGTGCCGTTTCGTACATGCGTCGCGCCACGAATCCGCGCGTCTGAGTTGGAGCCTGGGGACGAGGATGGACCGTACGTTAAATACCCCATCCTCGTCCCCAGGTCTTCAGGTCACGGGGACGAGGATGAAATATCCCCTTGTGTGCGAAGTGTGGAGAACAAATAACAAGAGACACTGAGACAGTATCCACCATTTGCACGAGTTACTAATCTGATTAGTTAGCCTAAGTCGAAGACAAAGTATTTCTTCTTCCACGGGAAGTTTGCATCCGTATGACCTTGATCCTAAATCTATTCCTAAACCTATTAAACCTAACGAACACACAATAGAAATAATAGATATCTTAAGTACTTAAGTATATATATGGTCCAACATATCCGTGCAAGATGAAGTACTTAACTAAGGGAAAAACATGGCGGAACAGGAGGAGGGAAGACCGATGTTTGGAAATAGGTTTTTGGTTGACAATTCTAAAGTATTTGAACATAATGCTTGGTAAATATAACTTGACTTTTAACAACCTATTCTCTTTAGCGTTATTAAAACGACAGTTCTTCACTCCTTCATAAATTTCTCAATATTTATATAGTTGATAGTTCATGCATGCTCAGTGATTTTTATCAACGTAATTAGTTACGTACAATTATAGCATATACAATGTATAGCATACAATGTACTAAATTAGTAATAATGTATTTGCCCAAATGTATTACAATAAACAGAACATTCGACCTGCAGTGGCTTGAAATGCTAGCTCGACGCATGCTCTGCTGACTGTGTCCGAACTACACCGTCAGGTCCAGCGTTGCCAACTGTAATTTTGTAAAAATCCCAAGTAAGCTCCCAAAATATCCAGAGATTCCCTAAAAAATCCCGATATTCTCACTTTTTTACATCATTATAATTTAGGTGGTTTTCGCACCAATTTCGGGTAGCATAGCCTCGTACCAGCCTCGTACTCAGGCACTATGTGTTGTTCGCACGCGTGACCTTTGTGTGGGCCGCATGGATTAATTTTATCCACGTGTGTCGTCCCGCGTGCGTGTCGCGCGTGCGTGTCGCGCGACGCTATGGCACAACAAAGCGTCTGGGTACGAGGCTGGCCTCGTACGTCATGTTGTAAAAATGAAATCTTGCATAAAATATGCAGCTCAAAAGAGTTTAAATACGAGAAGACGAACCCTGGATTTTTAACAAAATTGTTTATTAGTCAATTTCACCAAAAAATCAATTTCTAAACTTCGAACTTCGAACTTCCCTTTCTCAAAAATAAAAAAAAAATCCTGAGATTGACTTTTTAAAATAAAAATCCCCCCAAAATCCCAATTGCTTCAAAAAATCCCAAGATCTTGGGATAAAATCCCAGACTGGCAACAATGGTCAGGTCTGCATGATTGAGGACTGGAAATTATGAATTATATACTTTTCTGCTCACCCGGTTTGGAATCATTCACCTGAAAATATTTCATCCTATGTATTCCTTAGCCTCCTCCGCAGGCAACTCTTGTTTCCCACTCCTAAATGTCCCTCGGGAGAAAGGAGGGACTGCCGACAGCACATCAAGAAACAAAATATGTGTTGCCCACACAATGCAAAATTCCCATTGGTTGAAATCAATGTGCCTGTCAATCAAATCTGATATGTAGTAATTATATGCTATAAATCATTTCCAGATTGAATGTTGATTTTATCAATAAACATGACAGGCTTAGCCTCCTCCGCAGGCATCTCACCCGACGAATCGGGTGGTGGGAAAAAGTAGAACCCATAGAGAGGCCTGCGGAGGAGGCTATGACAGGCTTAGATTAACGGTTACTATTGGATAGATTTAATTGGATATAAGTAATGTTTATATGCAAAGGCGGAGCCAACTTGTGAAGAACGAAAAGTGGGCATATTTTGTTTCTTGATTTGTTGTAGGCAGTCCCTCCTTACCCCTCGCATGCCTGGGAAGCTAAACATATATATATATATATATATATATATATATATATATATATATATATATATATATATATATATATATATATATATATATATATATATATATATGTATATAATATATATATATATAGAGAGAGAGAGAGGGTTCATTGCACTGATTCGGCCCTGCTTACTGTATTATACTAGTGTAGCATATAACTGCATTCCCTCAGCAGTGTGTCAGAAAACAAAGTGTATATGTGATAGCCTGACATTGTATAGACTACTATTACTATATTATACCTCATATAAACTATTTACCAAAAATCTCAATATTCACCCAATCATATACTTTCTACTAACATCAAGTGCTCCATGAATTATATATACATAACAGACTCATGAATCTGAAATCATATACATGCATGAATCTGTACTAAATTATCCTTTTGCCTTTTTCAGCAAATGAATATATTAATAAAATTAAGAGTCTGAGCATTTTATATGTGAATTTTCGCGAGCTCTATAATTGATGATCGAGCTATTGCTCCTAGGGCAAACACTGTGCAAAAAATGTTTAAAAAATGTATGGTTTGACAAAAAACCCACACACTGATAAGAATTAATGTTGGTTAAACATTCAACATGATATGAATGTATACGAAGATTTTTGGAAGAAAGAGGTTGTCTTCGTGGTCAGAGTGCCAAAATTGAGTTGATGAGGTTATATGGGGATTAAACACTACACAACTTTTGCCTAAAACTGTCGCATGCAACATGCATACCACTTGAGTTGTACTGTTAAATCAAGCACACAACACACCCACGTTGTCAAGGTGAATTGTGTGCTTGATTTACACAGTACAAGTCAAGTTGTGAGTAGGTTGCGATAGTTTTAGGCAAAAGTTGTGCAGTGTAAATCAGTGTCTTAGTTTATGTGCACCTTCTCTCTCATAAGTGCATCCCCAATTTGATTTGTCTAGGATGGTATATTCTTAGAATATTTATTATTCTAATTGCTTTAACATTGAATATTTTGTATTCTGCAACAGGGATAATGTTGAGTGGGATAAAGAACAAGAAGAAACAGCAATAAAAGTTGTTCAAGAAAACACATCCATTAAGCTTCCTACAGACATGCAGGGTATTCATAGATAACGCTTGTTAAATTTAATCAGGGTTTGAGAGTAGAATTTTTTAATGGTATATATCCAGATTTAAACAAAACTTAAAACCTGGTATCTAAATTGTCAAAATAAGTGAACATGCTTCAGTATTTTATATTATTTGCCATGAACTCAGAACCTATTGCATCATTTTGCATGTTGTAATATGCCCATCATTGTTACAATGTCAGAACAATCAACTATATTCTTACCTAAGTGACGAAACATAGGCGTACGAGAGGGGGGGACTAGCCATAGCAACAGGGCACGCTATTCAAATTTTTAATGATTTGCATTATTCAAACGGTTATCTGATATTTTTCTACAAAGCCCTTTACGGTATAACCGACCTTGATGTCCACAACTACAGGGTGCGATAATTCAAAATTTTTAGTCGTACCCAGGGTGCGATAATTCAATATTTTTAGCCGTACCTGACTGGTACTCCAACAATTTTTGCCGAGTACTTGAGATGTACGAACTTAAAAGTCAAGGTGTACCTAAGGCTACTTCCGAGTCTTGCGTTTTACACATACGTATATAATGCACGGTCTTTGGCGGAAGAAATTAAACCTTTCTGAATTTTATATATTTAATAAACACTTATAACAAAGTTAACAACCTTGTTTGATCCCAAAATATGTCGGATGTGTGGAATTTACATTGTACAGCTAAAGTTATTGACGGTTTTGAATACCTTGGAAGGTTTGCTAGTTATTGCTAGAAGGAAAATGTAAGTACGCGAATAGCAAATTCTCGTGTACCTACGTGGTACTCGGCTAAAAACAAAGAAGTTCCAGACCGTAATTTTGGCGTACCTCTGGTACGTTGGTACGCGAATTATCGCACCCTGCCGTACCTGACTGGTACTCCAATGATTATTGCCACGTACTTGAACTTGTACAAACTTAAGACTCATGGCGTACTTAATAGTCTTTAGAATGAAGTACATAGTGTACAGGTTTCTGAAAGGTATTCATTCAGTAACTTGAAACTAGTAGTTAGATACACAAACACTACTATCGACTCTAACATTCCTTAGGCCTATCTCATCATATCAGTCCAATTATGTTTAATGGCAAGTCATGCTAGACTTGCACATATTCCAACTAAATTATGGTTTTGACTTGGGCTTGGAAAAGTCAAATGGTACAAGCAATGAAGTGAAGTGAAGTACGCAGATAGCAAGAGTTCCGCGTACCTACGTGGTACTTGACTGAAAAGACAGAAGACCAGAGCGTAATATTGGCGTACCTCCGGTACGTAAGTACGCGAATTATTGCTCCCTGCAACTATGTTTCTTTTGTTCCCCACAACCGAACTCGTCACAGCAACAATCCAAACCTTATACTCAAGACTCCTTGCTGCAATACATCCACCTACCAGGCATCATATACTAATGGACTATACATATAGAAAATTATTATTTCTGTCCTTAGAAAAGTATAATTGTGAAGCCGATCAGTTTTGGAATTCTTTTTACATGCAACATAATAATAGGTTTGTAGAAAAATACTTAATACTTTGACCAATTTCCCCCCCCCCCTCAGTGGGTCTCATAAACTTGCATTTACAGTATGGACTGTAGTTGGTCTGAACACTTTGATTCGTGTGCGCCACACATTTGACTAGAACTGCATGAACGGGTTAACAAGGATGATAAAATAATTTCTGTATCCCTTAGGTTTTTCAAAGACAGGCATTGGTTGTTTACAGAATTCCCTGAGCTCGCAGATACAAGTACAACCAGCCATGATGAAAACAGTCATGAAAGTAATGAAGATAAAGAAAATAAAGTTCTTCATTGTGGTGCTGATGCTGAAAATGTGGAATATCCTGGTTGGAAGGCTAAGAAAAGGATTTTAGAGGTGTGTTAATGTTTCTTATTGTGTTTCCCATATATGTTGTAAAGAATTATAATGATTTCCACTTTATCAAATCATGATATTTGAGAAATGTGTAGTTAATTTAATAACATATTAACCAACTTGGAAATATTGGTCATTAACAATGAAGAACAGACTTGAAAGTTGCAAATCGCAGCATGTAAACGTACAGTAGTTTTTCGTTGTACATTCACAACATTGAGAATGTTGAACATTTTTCCGTATAGAAAATGGTGGATGTTTTTTTAAATCCATATCAATGTTGACTGTTGTTTATAATTTGTTCGCAGTTGGAGCGAAATCGCGCAAAATTGCGTACTTTAGCGAAATACTTCAAGCAAATGGACCATTTGCATTATAGACTAAATTTTGATCTAGACAATCACAGCTTGAAAACAGCTTGAAAGAGCATCACAAAATTAGTAATATTGAATATTATCACAGCTTGAAAGAGCATCACAAAATTAGTAATATTCCAAAGTTTCGTTGCGAAATGTTGTAAAATGCGGATAATATAGCCATGCGAAGTTTGCCGTTTTTCAGTCATTTTGTATTACTACGCACGGGAAATTGACAGCCCAATCGGGTGTTGGGGCATCAATTTCCCGTTTGTAATACAAAATGACTGAAAATTACAAATTTCGCAAGGCTATATTATCCGCATTTTACAACATTTCGCAACGAAACTTTGGAATATTACTAATTTTGTGATGCTCTTTCAAGCTGTGATGAAATTTTTATCTAGATCAAAATTTAGTCTATAATGCAAATGGTCCATTACAGCGGACTTATATCGGTATAACTCGAAATGATTGCTACTGTAGCTTAAACTCTAAAATGAATAAAGTCACAATAATATAATATTGTTTTTTGTTTAGGTAGGATGTGGTGTTGGAAACACAGTTTTTCCCATTCTTGAAATTAACAAGTAAGTATAATTGAATTTAGTCTGATGGAACCGCTGCATGCAGTGTCTGCGTGCAGTATTATACCACAACGGTAAAGTGAAGACTATACATCTCAGAGTCTGTACTAACGTTCAAAAATTGTCCAAAAAAATGTCCGAGCAAAATGAAATTGATCGTAAACTTTCAAATTTGGGCGGACATGATTTTTAATTTTCGTTCTTTCTTAACTACATTCTTTTTTAACCTACACTGTATTAGTTTCAGTTAAAACAATTGTTATTTTTCTGGACAAAATGTCAGATCAATTTAGCATTCAGTCGGGCGAACTTGTACTTTGGTCGGATAATATAGACTGGTTCAGATTTGACTTCCACTACCGCTGCTATACTACCTCTCACTCTCTTAGTACTACGCATTTGATTGGTTAACCGGATATATCAACGCATATAGTAGTTGGTATTGGTCGCAATTAATGGTAGCTGAAGTCAAATCTGAATCTCTATAATGTCGGACGTCCAACTGTTATTTCAGGCTCTAATATCTATCGTGATTTATTAAATAATAATTATATTTTTGTTTCACTCGTTCTAGTGATCCTGAACTATTTGTGTACTGCTGTGACTTTTCTAGTGTGGCAATTGATTTGGTCAAGGTATAGTGTTATATCTAAATGACTAAAAAGTGTTACCGTGACTCCAGCTATTTGAACTATGAGCATAGTATTACGTAAAATGTAACTCGTTTGATAGACTATAATTTGTAGATTGTGCTGGGTGAGACCAGTGACCCCGATATTTCAAGGGGAAATCTTGCTCCGTTTAGCATAGAACATGGTATAGTATTCTAGCAAATAGTAAGAATTTCCTGTAAAAATTGACCAATATTGTTGTTCTATGACTATGACTCGTTGTTCTCAACGATCAGTTTTGGTGTGGTATTTTATTGCCCATATATATCATAGCATGTTCTTTTTAGATTTTAACTATATATTACGTATTAATCAATGTTAGTATGGCTATGGGCCTACCACAAACCTTAACAGGCTTTTATTTAAGACAAGTGGGGATTACGAGGGATAGAACTACCTGAAAAATACAAGCAAAACGAAGGCACTTCGTCGGGAAGTTAATAACGGGGTTCGGGAAAATTACATGAGCTTTTAGATTTAGTCAAAACAAAGTGTGAACAAAAAATGCAAATCACAGAACATATTAATACAACTATATGGAAAACTACAACAAACAGAAATAATATAGGCTATTAAAGAAGTATGGAATATGGTGAGAATTTAAAGTACTGTCAATGTCTGCTTTCGACAGGCAATGACAGATATACTGTAGCTAAACATACTGTTGTGAAAATGTTCTTTAATGCCACTAGGGTGGACAGTGCCGACTATGGAAATGAGAGGCATTTCATGTCTTTTGCGGCTATCATTGCTGCTATAAATGGGACAGAGGGCTCGAACCTTTATATCTGAAACAATGTGATTGCCACTATTAAAATCTATGGCAACATGCTGGTTAGCATCATTGGGTGGGGGTGCGCGTGAATGGGGCCTTGCATGGGACTTACATGATGCTGAAATGGTGGTAGCGGAATCTATAAACACACATGTTTTACATTGGGGTACCCAACAAGTAAACGTGCCATTCTCTGAGGACGAATCCTGTGGTAGGGAGCTATGAACTAGGGTTTTACAATCAACCAAATTAGACTAGTTGTTTGATACTTTAAGAAGTTTTCTTTTATCCTGTTTTTAAAGATTGTGGTCCATTCCAAATCGACTTTTTTATTAGAAAAAGTATGCTTCATAGTTATAATCTGTTCGTGTAGTATTTGATCTTGCAGACCCAAATTTTCGTAAAGGTTTATGCAAGTTGAAAACAGTGTATTACTGAGTGTTTCTTGAAACTAACAGTCAATTTTCATCATGGTATATAATTTCATGGTATATATATATTATCTTTTAGGATCATGAAGAATATGAAAATGGTCGATGTCATGGTTTTGTTTGTGATATCACTCAAGGCAACAATTTTCCTTTTCCATCTGAAAGTTTAGACATAATCCTTTTGATATTTGTACTTTCAGCTATTCATCCTGACAAGTAAGTACTGTAGGATACAGAAACATTAAATGCTGAAATATAAAATTAAAATTTGTATAATACACGAGTAATTTGTTCTAAAATTATATATTCGTCGTGCGTACAGTATAGCAAATCTTCTTGCGAAAACTATGATAACCCCTTAACCCTTGTAGGTAAACCGAGGAGACATCAAATATTTAGGGCGGCCCATTGCAGGAAGGCCATGGCTCAACAGTGTATTACGTTAATAACAACAATAACTCTAACAGTACCAGTCGCCGCCGCAGCAGCAGCAGCCGCAGGATCAGCAGAAACAGCAGCAGAAACAGCAGAAACAGCAGCAGCAGCAGGATCAGCAGCAACATAAACAGCAGCAGCACCATCAACAGTAGCATATTTAAGCAGCAACACAAAGCAACAACAACAGCAGCAGCAACAACAGGAACAGCAACAGCAACAACAACAGTAGCAACAACAACAGTAGCAACAACAACAACAACAACAGCAGCAACAACAATAGCAGCACAAAACAGCCGCAGCACCACCGCCACCACCAGGACCGCCACCAGCAGCAACAGCAGTAGCAACAACAACAGCAGCAGCACGAAGCAGCAGCAACCGCACAAAGCAGCAGCACCAGGAACAGCATAAAGCAGCAAGCACCACCATCACGACCAGCAACTCGAAGCAACATCACCACCAGCACCACGTGAGCGGAGAGATGGATGGATGGATGCAGCAATCTCTGTAATTGTTGCCACTGTGGCCAGGGACTGGTTGTTAAATTGTATAAAAAAGTGATTAAATTTAACTATGATTAAGTACATTTAGTTAACCAATCAGAATTTCTGAAAGTAGAGTTAATCACTATTTAATAAAAAAAGTGATTAAAAGCATTATACAACCAGTCCCAGGTGTTACTATAGAGCCAACTTGTAACCTTATATTTATTAACTGTTGTTCTACAGGTTTCAAGAAACGATTCAAAGACTAATCAAGGTATATTAAGCAAGCTCGCCAAGAGGGGGGGGGGGAGGTAGGGGGGATTTCCCCCGTGTCCCCAGCTCAAAAGGTGCCCCAAAAGCGACGAAGGCCCGAATTTCTTGATACAGGACTTCCAAACCGAGAATATAAATCCTAGCTGCGTCAGTATATGATAAAGCGTAATATATTGTAAACGCCGCTTCTCTTGTTTTGCAGTTATGACGTCATAGAGTCCCCTGGAATAGGTTTGGCCCTGGGCCCGCGTAACCTCTTGGCGACCCTGATATGAAGTAATGTAATTTTTTGTTATTATTTATTATTTATTAGTTAAAGATAATGATATAGTTTTGTATTTCAGCATTTAAAACCTGGTGGCAGGATTCTTTTCCGAGATTACGGCCGTTATGACATGGCTCAACTACGTTTTAAGAAAGGTACGCGTGAGTCCACGCTAGCATAGCTATATATAATGTTTGTCATAAAACAAAGCCCTTTTGTAAGTTAATACCGGAGTTTTTTTTCTGTGTTGGTGTTTGTACTCAGGTGAATATGATATTTGTGATGTTACTCTGAGTGTATATCCACACCGGGCGAGCTTGAAAAGTATGCCCGGCCACGGTGGGATATTAATATTAATACCTGAGTGTTTATATTTCTACTAAAAAATCCGCTTATCTAAATTGAAAACTTGTCAGCCACCATACAGTATCTCATTTCACTTTACTCTTTTATTTATTAGGGAAATGTTTGGCAGATAATTTCTATGTTCGTGGAGATGGCACCAGATGTTATTTCTTTACTCAAGGTGAGAGTTTTTCCAGTTAATTCATGCAGATTAATTTTAATTGCACAAACAATAAATAAAATACGTCGAAGTTGTTTTAATCTTTGGTTAGAGCTCGACAACTTGACTCTGTAGTTCAGTTGGCTAGAGCTCGACAATTGGACTCTGTAGCTCAGTTGGCTAGAGCTCGACAACTTGACTCTGTAGCTCAGTTGGTTAGAGCTCGACAACTGGACTCTGTAGCTCAGTTGGTTAGAGCTCGACAACTGGACTCTGTAGCTCAGTTGGTTAGAGCTCCACAACTGTCCTCAGTAGCTCAGTTGGTTAGAGCTCGACAACTGTCCTTTGTAGCTCAGGTGGTTAGAGCTTGACAACTGGACTCTGTAGCTCAGTTGGTTAGAGCTCGACAACTGGACTCTGTAGCTCAGTTGGTTAGAGCTCGACAACTGGCCTCTGTAGCTCAGTTGGTTAGAGCTCGACAACTGGCCTCTGTAGCTCAGTTGGTTAGAGCTCGACAACTGGACTCTGTAGCTCAGTTGGTTAGAGCTCGACAACTGGACTCGGTAGCTCGGTTGGTTAGAGCTCGACAACTGGACTCTGTAGCTCAGTTGGTTAGAGCTCGACAACTGGACTCTGTAGCTCAGTTGGTTAGAGCTCGACAACTGGACTCGGTAGCTCGGTTGGTTAGAGCTCGACAACTGGACTCTGTAGCTCAGTTGGTTAGAGCTCGACAACTGGACTCTGTAGCTCAGTTGGTTAGAGCTCGACAACTGGACTCTGTAGCTCAGTTGGCTAGAGCTCGACAACTTGACTCTGTAGTTCAGTTGGCTAGAGCGCTTCACCGGAATCGCACGGTCCCAGAGCCTATAGTTGCATTTTTCGCAGCTGCTTCTGGTTAGGTCTAAAAATCATGTATAATCTTGCGCTCGAAATATCTACAAAACCCTTCAAGTGTTTTGTTCAACGTTGTTATCTGAGAGGTCGTGGCGAAACCACATCTACTCCCTGGCATGCAGCCAAAGCCATTGTTTTCTGAGATCTTAATAGATGTTGTATTTTTAGAGGAAATAAGGAAGCTGTTTACTCAAGACGGTTTAGTGGAGGAACAAAATTATGTCGACAGACGTTTGCAAGTAAATCGAGGACGACAACTGAAAATGTATCGAATATGGATACAAGGAAAATATAGAAAACCTGAACAAGTGAGAAACTCTGCGAATGTCGATACTTGATAGCAGTGTCTTTTTACTTAAATGAACTTGATAATCTGTAAGATCATTGCAAGGATGGGTATAGATGACAGAACATAGATGTGTCATTTTACCTTGTTCACTGCAACAAGTCTTATCTTCAGACATCAACAGCATATACTACACGCATAGCCTTTGCGTTTTTGGTTATTTGATGGTTATTTTAATTTATTTTAAAGTTTTCCAAATCTTCGTTTTCACGATTTCCTGGTGTCTCATATGAATTTCTCGGAAATAGTGTAACGGCCTCAGTAGTCAGTAGATCATTTTTGGCTGAGAAATTTGGAACCGATCTGTCGGCCATGAGGCCGTGAAAAATATCCTTGAATACTGAGTCTAGCATACTTTCTATCCTAATTGGAGTAAATGCTTTTACTCGTCCTTATAAATCCGCCACTTTGTCAAAATTAGTGACAAAATATATATTTAAAAAGCTAAGTTGTAACAATCTTAGATAACATATTTATCAGTACAAATACATTTATAAGTACATTCAAATAACCAATTTTAACTCGTTTTATTCCCTCCATCAGTTGTAGAACGATATTCTTGCAATGCAACTGGTTCTTCCTCACGCTCTGATGTTTCCTCAGGATAGTAAGGCATAAATGGTAGAAATTTTGAGATTTTCCAGCTGTTGCCAATTCCAAAGGGTAAATCATAAACTTTAAGATCTCTCATCGCAGTACCATCCTTCTCTTTCGGCTTGATTCCTTGCCATTGGATCAATCCGCGTTCTTCTGGGGTTCCAGGAACAAGGTTATCCAATATTACGCTTAATATCCCGCCAACAGCCATGCTGGTTTTCAAGAGAACTGTGAGAATCTGATCAATTTCAACGACACCTTAATACAAAAAAAACTTTGCATTATATCTTCTGCACAACAGCTATAGCTGGTTCGTTCTCCTTGATAAGAAACAAAACATCAATCGTTTGTCAGGGCATTGGAGGATAAAGGTTAAGAATAGACATGCAAACAGCGTATCGATTGACGTCCAACACCTTCCTCTTTAAGGTTACAGAACACCTTTGAGTGTTAATTTTGCCTAAAATTTTTTTATTGGTTTCAATGAAAGCATTAGACTAGTTCTACTATCTGACCAAGTTTGAACGAAAAATGTTGAAAACTCGCAGAGTTATTTAATAAAATACATTTCGCTGCAATAAGAAAAACATTGAAAATGCAATTTTCAAATTCAGTTTTCTCCCGAAAAAGTTTACGGTAATTACTGATTTTCAAACGAGTTGTTCTCCTGCGGCTTTTAACCAATTTTTCTCAAATTTTCACAGGACATAGCTAAAGACGTCAGTTTCAAAATTGTGTTCGGCTTTTTTTAAATTTTGGGCATTTTAAAAATAAAGAGCAATTCACTCACAAACAATTCAGAAATATATTGCAGTCGTCAAAGAAATCGCTATATCAGCGGAATGACGAAATAAACAAAAATTTCCGAACACAATTTTTTAGAACAACTATTTTACTGTATAAAAATGATATTTTCATAAATATAACTTAAAACCAGCAGGAGCACAACTCAAAAGCGTAACGGTACCGCGATTTAATATTTTCCTGGATAATGCTTACATTATTTTATTGTTTGTTAACTTTACCATATTTTGCATGCACTCGGGAGAACATTTGGTGAAAATTTGATGAAAATCGGACTGATATTGAGCGCGCAGTAGCGATTTTCCGCAAAACGCCAAAAAGGGTGTCCTGTAACCTTAGAGGTAGATTATTTGGCGTCAGACAGAATAAAATCATAAAGAAGGGCGTATTTGGGCGCATCGCAGTTGTCCTGCATGTCTATGATAGGGCATTCATGAAAACTACTGGGTAACCAGTAATGGTGTTTTTTACCCTCGGTAAATAAAGTATTTTGACTTTGACTTTGTTTACACCAACAGTAACATGCACGCTCCCTATTACAAGTTGTTTACGTCTTCAGACCTATGAAATGGCTTTTTGACGACAGACCGATGATGCTTATCGTTGAATAGACCCATACAAGTCCGCTTGAGAAGTAACATAACTCAAAAGTTGTTTGTTACCTGCGCATTTGATCATATACTATAACATGTTAATTTGCGCAATATAAATATTAAATATTATTATTATTAGTATAACTCGAGTTTGCTATCATTGAATCATCCATATACCTTACCTGTGTCAATGGCGTTATCGTTCTTTTGGAAGTAATCTGGCACGGCAAAACCCATGAGGAAGGCAAATCCAATGATAAACAAGTTTCGTACGGAATTGAGATCCACATACTGTAGATTTGAAATCCCAACAGCAGTAATCATACCAAACATACAACAAAATACACCACCAACAACAGGATCAGGAATGGTAGAAAATAACGCACCAAACTTTCCAAGAATCCCTAATGTGATCATGCAGATAGCTCCGATCTGCACTACACGGCGACTACCAACCTATTAAAATATAGACTAGATTGAAACACCTCCCAATATCTGATAAAACACTTATTATATCTTTATTATATCTGATAAAACACTCCTACGCGTGCTTTAAATAGTACATATCTATTAGAATTACGATTTTTGCAGCCGTTTTAATTAAGGTGGAATGTCACCTATAATTTCCAAATACTACCAAATTTTCATTTTCTTACCTATTCAATCTGTGTTCCCGTCATTCAGGTTTATATCACAGATACTAGAAAATACATGCATGCAGAAACCCTCGCCTTGCTGACAAAACCATTGTATTTTCCGAACATGAAGTTCTAAAGTAGTTGTCATGGTAACACGATAATTTTTTAAGAATATTCTTACAAATGAAAAATCGCCTAAAAATATCACTTTTAATTACAAAATTTAAAAATTAAATGAGACTTACCTTAAGTCGAAATTTGATTGTAATTCTATGAGTCTTTGGACAAGGAAACTAAGGAGTCATGTGAGATATGCGCACGCAGATCGAATGTTCAATATTTAAAGCAACGAGTGATTTCAACAGAATAGATACCGTATAGGGGTGGGCAAGACTGAACAGGACATTTCTTGTGTATTCGCCAATCCAGTGCCCAACACTGACTTATAACCACAAACCCAAAAATGTCATGGGTGGGTGACTCCTTAGTTTCCTTGTCCAAAGACTCATAGAATTACAATCAAATTTCGACTTAAGGTAAGTCTCATTTAATTTTTAAATTCTATTTCGTCATTGGACTACGTCACTAAGGAGTCATGTGAGATATTCAAAGTGTTGGAATCACGAGAGCCATGTATAACCATTTCACAAAAGGTGAAATTGAGCTAACACTCATGGAATGGTAAATTAATTAACAGCAAAGATTGTCAATGATAATCTTCAATAATATAATGAATTAAATGCATATTTGAATGTTGTATGCATATTCGTCATGAGTATTCCCTAAAATTTTGCTTGGAACTGAACAGTATTACCAGTATTTTTCATGCTATATCCATAATGCAATACTCAAAACTCAATAGTTTAGTATTAACGCCGATAATATCACTTTACCAGGAAAATCATCAGGCCAACGACCCTTGTTCCGAGTAAACCTGTGCAAAGGAATTAGGATTCCCACTTGTGTGTGGGGCCCACATAATATCAGCAGTTTTCCAAAGTCTGTTATTTGTTAAAATTCCTCAGAGAAATTTTTTGTCGTGGTAGGTGACTTCCACACAACCACTGATTTTAGTAGCTTGTTCTACGTTCGAATGTTTAACAAATGCTCTGCAACATTGTTACTAATTAAATTAATCAAACACAGTTTATATATTAAATAAATTGGCATACTGTTCACTGTGCCAGTAATGGCCTCCCATAAGGAGTATTTCTAAATTGTATTGTAACACAATTTGCCCTTTTGCAAGTCTATAATCTGTCTGCAAGACATACTCTGTCAGAAAACATTGCACCTCTTCAGTTTTTACCACGGATGTGTAGTCAATGGTTTTTACTCTGTAGAAGGACCCATGCAGCCATATAGTTCCCTGGCTCCACAGTCATTAGAATGTTTGTAAACATTACTTGTGACATGCCCACGTTTTCGACGATGTCTTTTGCATGGTAAGTAACTGATTGGTTTTACAATGTAGTGGAAACTACATAATTGAACTATAATGAAGTATAATGAACATCATATAATTCTGATACACC